TGGTTGGATACTACACTTCAAATATCCTTCGGGTTGACCTTGTTTTTCAGTTTTCTTTCCGGAAATGCCACAAAGCTAGTTGCAAACAAATCGAACTATGGTAACAGTATATCTTATCTTCAAACCTTCAGGGATGCATGTACAATGTGAACATGAATCCCGCCTTTCTGATTTCCTGGGCAGTTTCCTCTTCTTGCGGGTCCTTTGGGATCACTTCTGACATTCGGTCCTTCAAATCTTGTGGGATGTCTGGCAACTTCTCCACCAAAGGTTTGCGATCCTGCATGCTGCAGCTGTTGTTTTTGAATTCCTGATGGTTCAAACAAAACCCTATCACATACACACGCAATTGGTGTTGACGATATTCTGCACTAGTTGCAACCTAATCTGATCAACATCAAAGCAAAGAGTGGGAGCGAAATAGAATACATGATTCTCGAAAATAATGCGCCAAAGAAACAGTCACTAAAACACATAGTTTAGTCAAGCAGGCACCCATACTTGTTGTCAATGAAGCTTGAAGAGTATTATCACATATTGGGCAATACATTTTTTGACCCAAACTTGGAACCTTGAAATACAAACCACCAGCAGGCGCACCTTAAAGGCATTCTTCTCAGCAACACCTTCTTCGTCACTGTTTAAGCCCTTTTGAAGGTTTTGGTAGTCATCCCGTTCTGCAAATGTTTGACTTTCATCCATCATTCCCGACCCTTCATGAACCGATTCTTTTTTCTGCTTCTTGGCAGGGGGTTGCAAATCACTTGAGTCTGCACTGTTCTGTGTTTCTGTCTTGTACATGCTAGCCACTTGAGCTTCTTGTTCGACTAGCCTCCACTGACTTTCAATGATCTGGTCATCTGTCGGTCTTGAACCATTTTCATCATCATCAGTGGCTATTTCAACTACGTCACTCTCGTGGTCAACCGTTTCCACACACATATCATCTTCCAAAGCTTCCTCTTCGGCACCCTCCTCCATAGGACTATCCTCTTCAGTATCGGCTTCCCCCAAAGCAGGTGTAGGCGACACGGAATCCAATCTTCGCATTGGCTGGATTGGGGATGCTAACGGGGTCTCAGTCATTGGTAAGGTATCCATCGTGTCGGGATTCTTTGCGGCTGATTTCTCTTCAGATACCTCAGTGTAAGTAAAAGGTGTCAGCTATATAATAATTAAGATATATATTAAATATATAATTCATTAATATTCATCATGCGGGGACTAAAATATCCAGGCAATAGAAACTATGAAGCAATACAGTTGCAATCTGCTCCGTCCAGCACACAGCTCAGCTCCAAATGACTTTTTGTTTTGGAACTTGCGATTGTGAAAAAAACACGTGAATGCGTGCAGCTAATATGACAACCAGATTGTACATGTGCAACCCATGTTCTCATTTCAAAATTTGACCAATTACACACATATATGTCATCGATGTGTGACAGTAAGGATGACTCTTGGGTACCCCGACCTTAGGCTTGCTCATCCCTCGTCCTCGCGTAGGAGTCTTCTTGCCATCCGGGGTCAGCATATCAAACTCCTGTCAGAGGACGATGCGCAAGTTTAGGACATAAAATTTAAAATGCATGTTACAAAGGTGAAAGGTTCTACGAACAATTAGGACCATTCTGAAGTGTCATGTGTACCAATTTGCATCACCCACGCACATTCTTTTGATTTGTTTTGTGGTCTTTTACAAACAAGCTCATCAAAGAGTTTCAAAGATAGTACATGCATGATCCTGCATGCACATGTGTGTGCAGTGCATTACCATCCAGCACCCAGACCATAAGCTAAATAAACCCCCAGACCATAAACTAAATAAACAGATCATGGCAATAATTCATATCCCTGGAAGTGGTGCCTTCAAGCGGCCGTAGATGATGTTCTTCAGCTGCTCAGCACGTTCATGACCCTTCCTGATTGGCGGACAGACAGTGGAACCCTGAGAGAAACCCTGATTGGTGATTCTGACATCTACTATTCTCTGAGAGGATGGGCTTTCAGAATGAACAGTTCAATAATGTTCAAGTTGTTGGCATTGTTTTTGAAAAGGAACCAAAAGATATGTTTGTGTTTTTTGCTAAAGACAGTGGTACCATCTATACAGCAATATAAGGTCCCAGATTTCCCATCAATCTAATACATGTTTATCCTGGTTAGCCCCCACATTTGGAGAACATGTAATCCTGGCCTCACACCACGATTTCTCTGAAATCGATCCAGGCAATAGCTCAAGAGGGACTTGATGACTCCGCTCTCGATCTCACCCCATACCTGACAAAGAGTTTGCCAAACTTGTATTAAATGGTTTGCACATTGTGATATATATATATATATATATTTTTTATCTCTTTGATGAAAGAATCACTGGACTTGCTTGATTTTGAACTTGTGGTTTGACATCTATCTTACTATGTTTGTTCAAGATCTGGACCTGGTTTCATTAGCTTATCTCCTCAAGAAAATCATGGCTGTTTCAAGACTTGAACCCTAGCGCCAAAACACCAGTTCAGTCCACCAATCAACCATTACGTGCCTCGTGCTCGTTGCGATCCTTCCAGGGGTTCAAGCGGTAGTGCAGCGAAGCCCATGACAGAGCAGTCTGCCAATGGGCTCCAGTTGGTGCAGCAAAAATGTACAAATCAAGTGTGTTGAGCAAAGACAAAACTCCATTTTCAATTCTGTATGCGATGCATGATTTTGTTGGTGCCTCATCAATTCTTTACATTGGAGAAAAAAATGACTTTGTGACTCCTTGCCTGAAATTCTTTCCGAGTGGGAGGGCATTCAGCAAACGATGCGCACAGCGCAACAGCCATTGCAAAGTTGTGATCGCTCTCTGCCTCCAGTCCAGAAACAATAAACTGGAAAAAAATGATATTGAGAACGAACAAATAATTTGTTGGGGAAATGCAATATAGCGCTACACGTCATTCCCAATAATTACAAATGGCAAAGGAAGTGATGATTTATGAAGCTGCTGGAGAACATATAATTGACACAACTATATTGCACGAGTAAAACCAAAGTACTTGGAAATTTTATGTTGATCCGTTCGGTCCCCAAGAACAGCACCTCTCGCTCGCCCATGTCTTTACTCTCCAAGACCACGAACTTGAACTTTGGCACCTGTGTAGTTGAGAAAAAATGTTAGTACTTATGTTGTAGGCAGCTCTCAACTGGTCCTTTGGCAGTATTGTTTTGCAACTGGTTGCAACTAGAATCTATATTAATTGCAATCACATAAGTCGTCATATATACGATATGATTATGGAAACCTTGTGTTGTTTGGATTCATGGAAGAATGGCACATTGTTTCCAAACGAAATCTGGGGAAAGCGTAATGGATATTTCACATTTTTCTGGGCCCCTACAACCACGAGATCTTTCAGATAAACCCCATTCAAGAACTCTTGGCTCCCCACCTTGTGTTTATCCTGGTCTTTCAAGCCGGCACGTAGCCGCAAGAGACGACGCCTTTCGGTCATAAACGCCTCATCCTCGCAGAAGTCTTTCAGTAACTCCTCACGGTATGAAATCCGGAGGCCAGATAGCTCTTGCAACATTTATGGAATCTACCAGAGGGGCCTAGCTTCGACCAATTGAACTCTTAGATCGGGTAGTTAGGGGCAAACTGCGGTGTGCACAAAAAGATAAATAAAGCATCATTTGAAGCATGTCAGATGTTCGAATGAAAATGATATCAATCCCAAAAATTCTCTCCTTGATCAAAGCCACTCGCTTGGGATCAGGCTGCTTAGGACTGCGAGTGTCTGCCATGATGGTGGAAAGAAAGATCCCCCAACCTGGATTATGATTGATATTCTTGGACGGTCTATCGATGTCATGCATGCTGATGAGTATCATGGGCAAGTACCTGCATACCTTTGAGCCAATGGAGTATCCATCACGTGTACATCTCTGCAAATTAATTCAAAGTCCGCATGTTCACAAGAAACATTGCGCATGCAGGGCGGGTAAGGGATGGCACCAAGAACATCAGTGTCTATCACATCGTCACCCATAACCTCTTCCCAGTGACCTCAGCTCACAACCCCAACCAATCTGGATTGGGGAGGCAAATGGAGGCAAGGATAGCAAGAAGTTATAATACAGATATCTACAGTATCTCGTCTCGATCGTACTGGCATTCACAAGTACTATGGTTGACGTAAATCCAATTTTATGTTCATTTGATGTTCATATGGGGGGCCTTCAAAGATGGACTGAGTTTCTGGCGCCGTTTCAGCATAGACTTCATGACCAGGTTGTAGGCCACCCAACATGCAAAAAGCAGCACAGGGATGACCCGCACCGATCCCAGACCCATCAGTGCTGCTTACTAAGCCCCCAAAAGTATATGGTCGATAACTATATTGCTGAAGCATTACTCCACATATTTCGAATTTCCACATGCTTTGCAAACTTTGTGGACTAGCATTGTGCAAACTTTAATGTCATTCATAAAAGATATGTATATTCATCCAGACATGTTTCTTGATGCAAATCCTGCAGCTGACACTCGCCGGACGATGAGCGAACCCTAGCTGCAACCAGGAGATGGAAAAAAAGGTGGTTCGATACCAAAGAAAGGTCGAGGTGCTAACCCCCTTTGTTTCCATGGTCGACGACACCAAGGGTATATATATATAATGATATATGTATAGTATTCTATCTATACTGGGATTTATAACCAAGTTATAGCTCAAGGGGGGCCATAAAGTCACAAGGTAGATGATGACAAGGATTGAGCACATCTCCACAGATTTATCTTAAGTAGCTTTTTGTTGGGCCTGCCTCCTAAAGTAGCTTAAAACTTGGTTTGTCTATTCAAGGTTGAAATTAAAGGCAGGCAAGGGACTGGTATAGCGTTTTTTTTCGCGATGTAGCGCAGCAAAAATGTCCATTTTGCTTCATTGCTTCATATTGCTTCCATGGCTTCCATGTCAGGGAAGAACATTGTGGATATAGATCACCAATAAGACGGGCCATCCATGGATATCTCCCCGGAAAAAGGTCGAGCTGTGCTCAGTGCCGCTGCTGACGCCAAAGAAGGCGCTACAACGTTGCTGCAATGAGGTAAGTCCACAACAACCAGGATCCACAAAAACACATGGGGCATTACGCGAATATTGTGGAAGTAGTATGGAAGTGCTATACATATCTATACATACATTTTTTGGGAAACATATTATAGCAGTCACCATGCGCAATTGGAGTTTGCGAAATTGGGTATCCCAGAATCTCTGATAAAGTGGCAGCAAATGGTTTACGACCGCACCCGCAAATGGTTGGTTACAGTCTTGTGAAGGTTTCTTTTTGGAACAAGTCTATTCAAACAATCACAGAATAACTGGTTCGGTCTATACAAGGAGCTGTACATAGCCTCACAACATGATTCCTGAATGTTTTTCCCCAGTACGGTACTGAGGTGTTGATTCCAACCTGGATCTGGAAGAGGGGCACCAAATTTCAGCCGCAATTTCTATTCAAACGAAAGGCTACCCTCTGGTAAACTAACATAACTATGGAAAATCACCATTTTTTATGGGAAAACCCACTATAAATGGCCATTTTCAATAGCTATGTTAAATTACCAGAGGGTAGATTGTATTGTCCAATTGGAGAAAAACACCATCTTGCTATGATTGGACCATCCGATGTGTTTGTACTTTGCGCATCCCTGGAAGTGCTTCACGGCCTTGTGTGGTGGCAAATTAGGAGGCACCTCCAAAGCTAAATGAGGAGATGTAGGGTATTCATGGGTATTCGGTATTCGTATAATATGATGGACAGGGATTCTTGCACAAGGAGTTATTAACATGGGACAATTTGTCGAATTCATTGACGAAAAGGAATGAATCCGCGGCCAAGGTCACGTGGTGGTTAACCCGGGTAATCCTTGGTGAAATCATCACAGCTTCCATAGCCCCACTGGATCCGATTCCTGCGCCAGATCGTCATGCCCGGCCCATCCTAGAGTTCAACGCCGCCGCAAGCCTGAAGGCAACAGCTGCTGGAATTTTCTCTGGGAGTTTCATGAACATTCTCCTATTTTCTCCTTGTTGTTTCAAGGAGACCCAGATCGTTAGCTAAGTTTTCAACTAGGTTCCCTACAATGTGGGCCCCCCAAGTTATAAGTTGTTATAAGTTGGTCTGTAATACTGTAAACCTCATTAAATATACTATAGCTACAAGTATCATACACTTTTAAACCATAGTGATTAGAGTTATGTGGCCAGCAACTTAGCTACGTTCGGGGGTCCCGCATTGTAGGCTTTTGGGGATTATTGTAACTATCTAGCTTAGATGGGTTGATCAACAACTGGGGGCATCACCTTGCAAGATTTGGGTATTCCCAAAGCCCATGGTGTATCACCCATGTTCCCCCTCCCAAAAAAAAAACATGTGGTGGGTAGAGCCCATTTTTCGACAAGCCTTGGTACTTGGGGAAATGTGGAACTCCATTCCATCCCATGTGTTTTTTTTCCATGTTCCTTGTTCATATCGCTTTCAAATGGGGTATACTATGGTATATTAGATGTTTATCATGTGCCGGTAGCGATTCTGGTGCCGTTGGCGAAGTATCCAGTCCACTTGTTCATACGGGGTAACTGGGTACGGGGTAACTGGGTACGGGAAGTATGTTACTGCTGTCAGTACTGGTTTGCCAGATGAGAAATCCACATTCCCAGCATTGCCAAAACAAATCGCTTGAACTTGTTTGGCTCAGAATGCCATTTACACTCGTTATACCAAACAAAGCCATTTCTTTCACAGCAACAAATCAATTAGATTTGTCTCATTGTTTTTCTGTGTTTTTCTTGGTTACATAAAATCCGCATTTCTGACGGTTCAGATGCTGTCACACAAACACTTCGAGATGCTCAACATCTTGAACTTTAGTTTCACTATATGAGCAACCGTAAAAACCCCGGCAATACTAAATATGTATTCGACGGACATTGGCTTATGGAAATTGATGGAAATTGTTAAAAACACGAGGTAAGCGATGGGACCTTCCCAAATTAGCGATACCCCTTTTCAAGGTTATGTCATCATATTTCTCTAATATCCACATTAGCGATACCCAAATATCACATATTATTCATAGTTCATCATATATATATAAATACAGCAGCTTCCTGCAAGCGATACCCCCCAAGTTTACCATATATCATTATTGTACAAACGTGTGGTAAGCGATGGGACCTTCCCAAATTTGTGAATGTCCTTTCCGTGAACCTAGGGTTTTCACAATCGCTCATATGTTTTCCTAGTTTATTAGAAGGATCTGTTGTTCCAATTCACCTTGGTTTTAGTACTCGTGTTGTCTATTCTTAAATTTAGAAGGTTACACTCCCAAGTTTTTACTCAGATGTTGGACGTTTATCATCCATTTGTCCAGTTGGGATGTTTGTAGATACTTAAAATCCCAATATTTTAATCAAAACTATTCCCTTTGGTGGCGCCAAATTAAATATTTTCCTGGGAGTCCAGTCCCAAAATTATGAAGTTTTAGCACTCCCCCTATGTTGCAAAGGTCAGGACAAGCACTTTAATTTTGAAATGGGAACATGGGGGGTAATGAGACTATGTCATAGGACAGGAGAATAAGCTCTAGTATGAAGCTATGATGAAAATCTGCAAACTGTCAGGTCCCTGAACATAATTTTAAGGTGATTTTAGGGAGGGGTGAAATAAAAATCAGCAAAGGATTGATGCACACCATGTTTTTGATCTGGCCATAGATCAAGACGGGGGAAAAAGTGGTTTCAAGATTCCCCATAAGTGGAAGTCAAGGCCCCTGGATATCAAGTTTGAAATAAATTGAAAAGGATTAGACCCATCAAATTTGTAAGCTTATTTTCCCTGACTGGACCCTCCCGGGTAGTACCAACGGGGATATCAAAATACATCTTCAATAATGGTTTTGTTGAAATCCAACACATATATATATGATTATATATGTATATATATATATATTTATTTAATTATCTTTATATATAATTATATATGTATATATATATATTCCAATTTAGGGACGTTATTTGATCATTGAACTTTACTATCTTTACTTCACAACGATTTGTCCATTTTTCCAGGAGATTCTGGGGCACAGCTGCGCGGGGCCGGCGCCACTGGTGAAGCCGCGCGGCTTCCGCGAGAGGAGGGTCGATGGTGATGAACTACAAGGTGGTGCCCCCCAAACGTGATGTTGATTGGTTTATAAACCCCATGAATACTATAAATATAACACCAACAAAAACCATAGTGAAATTGGAGTTATGTTTGTTCACCAACTTAGCTATCGACTGGGGGCACCACCTTGGATAAATAACTAAATACCATCGATACTGGGTAACATTGGAATACTTAATAATTAATACTGGTTGGTGGTTTGGAGCATGTTTTATGTTCCCCAATAGTTGGGATGATGATCCAATCTGACTTTCATATTTTTCAGAGTGGTGGCTCAACCACCAACCAGTAATAATTAATAGTAACTGATTCATAATTAGTAACATATTCACCATACCAAAAAGCACTTTATAGTTTATTAGTAATATATTCACCATACTATATTACGAATATCTTAATAAATGATTCACTATAGCATTTATAGTAATCTATATTAGTATATTACTGGATAAATAATTTTCTGATATTATTCATCTGAGTGAAGGAACCGCAAGAGAGTGGGGATTTCACCATCTTCAAAAAACGTTGGATATATTGTTTAGAAACCATGGCAGCCAGTAGGGAATGTCCAAATTCCATTGGGACCATACAATGGGGTGTTGAAAACATTAGGGTGATGAATTATTATTACACTCTTGTAAACGTTTACATAGCTACGGAAAATCACCATGCTATCAATGGGTAAATGAACTAGAAATGGCCATGTTCAATATAGCTAGGCTAACTTACCAGAGGGCACTGGATAAATAATTAATGATGCCAATTCTACCGTATTATACCTATAAAATTGGTAATCAACATGTCCACCAAGAGTTTTTGGTGGGTGGTTCTGATTAGCCAAGATTTTCATGGATATAGGGATATATATGTAATACATGCCCAACACTAAATGGGATAACAATAAATGGAATATATGATGGGGATATTATGGGGGTAGTTTATAGTACTGGACAAATCACTAAGATTGGTCATTCTACCTATAAAATTGTTAGTTCTGCTTATACTTATATGAATTATCAACGTTCTTCATTGGTATATGATAGGGATACTATTGGATATATAAATATCTACGATCAACAATATATGATGCCCTCCGGTGTCATCGAGCATGGCTTGCTGAGAAATCCTAGGTTTATAGCTGGAAAACTAATCGGTTTCCAAATGGGGAATGTTATAGCAATAACCATGTAGGATAAACCACAATACTTTGTGGTTCGTCCTACTTAGTAAGTTGGTAGTAAAACCCTGGGTGTAAATGGGCTGAGTAGGGTGATTGTCCACTTAAAATGGGGGTGAACTAGCCTACTTACTAAGTGGGCTTAATCCGCAAGTATCCCCATAAGACAGTTGGTTTAAAAAAAAAACTATATATTTAGCGTTTAAATCCCCTACTTCCCCCATCAGTTCTCCAATCTCAGACTGCTATAACTGGGGGTATACGGTATCGTGTCAGACAAACCCAAATGTGTCCTTTGTAAATTTGTAAATAAATCAAAATATTGTTTTGTACCCAAAGTACTTTTATTGTTTTGTGATTAATATGGATAATTACACACCAGATAGTTTACACAAGTGCAGAGTATCAGAGTATCTAAGTTTCAGAATGTAAAGGGTGTGGGGTTTATCCATCAGAAATGGGGATTAACCCGCAAAATGTTGGTAAACCAACGGGTGAAGGGTAGTTGAAGACTTCAATCTTTGGAGATTTTGATGTGGGGAATATTCATTTCATAGCCAGCTTGGGTTTTTTAAAGGTATCTACAGCATATCAGCCGTTTTTTGGTTTCTCCAAACCAAACTAGTCTGGTTTGCCCGTTGGAAGGTTTGAATATGGGTTGTTGGTGTGGCAAAAACTGATGGAAAAATCATATATACGCTGAAACCCGAAGGGAGATTTACCCAAGATTGACACGTGTTTTTTTCCGGCAATCAGAGTTTTTTTAATGCACAACTTTACCGAGAACGACTCTTTAGCAACTTTAGCAGCTAGAGTAGATCGAGGGATCCATTTTGGCTGATATCCAAGGTTGATTGGTCTATGTTTTTGGTGATATAAATGGTGGGGTTGACTGAGGCAACTGCTCACACTTCTCTCAGAGGCTGCGGAGGAAAATTGCCAGGCGATGACGAGGGGAAGATGGTCGGTTTTGGGGGAAAACGATGGAAAACCATACCGGGATTGAAAACCAATGGAAAACCATGAGAAAAGCCTTCAAGTCCAGATACTCCCCCCCAGAACAGATGGCTCAAATTCTTGAGTTGAGCCATCTATGTCAAATGCAAAATGCGGGGGATAGATGGCTCAACTCCCATTCAAAACAGGGCAGTTGCGCCTCAACTCCCATGTAAATCATAATTGTTCCCAGTTAAAGTTACACAAGTTACCATTTGGAATGCAGAGTGGCCTTAAATCCACTCGTAAATCGTCATGTTTGCTGTTTCTTTTTTTTTACGATCGTTTGGAGGGTACCCAATTTTCAGACATAGCCATTATTAGCAATTTTGGCATGTTGTAGGTGTGAACTGGCACCAAAACCAAAAACTTGTGCGGTGGTTTCAGATACAGTAGTCATGTCCAATTACCCAGCTAATGATCCTGATTGTGGGTTGGAATCAACATTTCTTGATAGCTGTTGCAGGTTTACATATATATATATATATATTATGAATAGTTACATATTGGGGCGATTTGGGGCGTAAACATGTTATGTTTCATGGTTTGGGGAGACATTAGGAAAGAAGGTTATGAGAAATGCCGAGCAAGCTAGTTTTAGGATTCGAAGAAGCATGGGAGCTAGTCGCAGCTAGTCAGCAAGAGACAAGTGGGTCGTGATGACTCATATTACTCAAACCACACTTGGAAGTCCAATGAAGTCTATTTCCTTATGGTTCAGTCTCCACCCTACGGGGTTCATCTCCACATGGGTTGGACGAAATCAAGATCTTTGACGGTTACATAAGCATTTCTTGATGCTTGACCTGAAGCGCCATGTTTAGATGATCTAAATTCCACTTTGTTAAAGGTCCTACCATGCTGAATGATTAAAGCACCACTTTTGCTGGTCAACATCCCCATGTTGGTTGTGCATTTCCCATTGAATCACCAGTTTTGCTAGACTCGTTTGTACCAAATGTGAATCCTGTGGGTTCACTTCTGCACATGTGAAAAAATGGATGATTTCTGCACATGTTAAAGGTAGTTTATTACATGGATACAATTCTGAAATATAGATGGTTTTTATATATATATATAAGATGACTTGGTGCTCTAGGTTGAGGAGCATGGATTTTATTTTTTGGATCTTGGCCATATGTAAAATATATTTGAAGGGGAGGGGGGGTTAGGGGACAGGATATTTTTTTGAGATGTTGGATACATATAACGGGAGTTCATAAGTTGGGAGACATGGATTTATTTTTGCGTTTTTTTTTTTTAAATGTAGTATGGACACAGTATGGATGTTATAGCTAACATCTCCCAGATTGAATATCATTTTTTTTATGTTGATAGGCTGATAGGCTGGAACCCTAGGAAATAATTTTGATGTCGCATTTTTTTCCAAGGAGTGAACCTCCCTGGGCGGTCCAAAGGGGTATGTTTTTGCTGATTCCTATCGAATCTCTATTGTTGGGTGGTTAACATCTCATTTACACTCTGGTAATAGACATAGCTATTGAAAATGGCCATAGAAATAGTGGATTTACCTATTCCAAATGGTGATTTTCCATCGTTTTTTGTATGTTTACCAGAGGGTAATCCCCATCCCAAAACGCTGCGGCCTGCAGCAGGCGAGACGTGACGGTGCCAAGGCATTGATTGACTCCGCAGCGCAGGAGAGATGGCGCCTGTCTTCACGGAAACTGGTTAATTGCCATGTTTCCTGTCACACAAGCTTTACACTAGTAAATAGATAGATAAATAGATATAAATAGATAGATAGATAGATAGATAGATGGATAGATAGATAGATAGATAGATAGCTGCTCCAATGGTTCATCATTGAGTTCACGAGGCGCTTTTTTGCAAGGTCCAAGCACAAGCTCCAAGCAGCGACCTGTATCGGTATCGGTGGCAGGATTTGCAATGGATTCTGGCCCTGTTTTGCGCTTCCTTTCTAGACGCTAGCGAGGCAGCCTGCGGCCGGGGGGAACCATGGGGAACCGGCTCTTGGATGTACATCCCATACGTAGCTGGCTTATAATTATGTGTCACGATCATCAATCAGAGACTAACTGGTACATCCCTCTGCTTTTTTGGATGTTACGGCTTCAAACATGAAAGATCATGAAAGATCAGATGCAGGGTTTCAGATTATTAGGTCAGTCAAGGTTTTAAAGGCACAATACGAAGCGGCACGCAAGGAATTACGATTTATCGACCAAACCAGGAAAGACATTTTGGCAAACCGTCATGTGGTGAAAAGTGCTCAAGGTAAACTAGACCATTCGCTTTTTACCAGGCATCAGACAAGGAAAACAAACCCCTGAAAACATGCGGTTTCAGAAGATCTTGATGATTCTGAAAACTGCAGATGAATTCTGCTACCGTTTCCATCCTGTTTCCTGACGACTCATCTACCGGGCAAGAAACTTGGCCATGGACCTGATACCCAGATCTATCATGACTTTTCCACGGGAGTTATATAATGGAACCAAATTTTGGATATGATATATTCTATACTAGTAGCCTACATTAGTGTTACCCAATGTGATACTTGATTTTGATTTGTTGTTCATACCACCGATAGGTTGAGGGTATACCTGTGCTCAACTCCTGACCTGTTTGGCTCATCACTGTCCGGAGACGATGTGTCACCGGATGATTTTCCAACTATTTATTCCAATTGTTTCACGGGCTACTTGCTAGCACAGCAAGTTGATAACATGATGTAACATGGTAACACATTAACCCCAATGTCACCTCATTTCTTGAGGTTCAAAAACAAAACAAGGGATAGATGTCTTGTTGAAACAGTTCATATAGGACAAAAGGAAGAACCTGACAATTTTACCTGTGTACATCTTAATTTGTCCGTTATTGTCATTGCCATACACAGGACAATCTCAAATTGGGAATTTGAAGTACAATTCTATGGAATTTCAGTAGTCATTTGTTTGTGAATCCTCACTTTATTCTGAGTTCAAGCAGGTTTATCCCACAGGTTCTTGGAACTGCTACTATGTATCTATATATACTTGCGGTTGCATATTCAAATTAAGTATCCTGTGTATATGACTTTACTATTTTGTTTGTATTGATTTTACTATCGGAAATATATATGAAAAACTCGATACTAAACATTTAACCACCGTCCCTTCTCCATAAAAACATAGCTGAAAAACACATGGAAAAAAACATCTGCTTGGGGAGATTTGCTGATTCAAAAACGAAAAAACACAAAATGAACACTTCAGAATGACATCACCATTAGGTCACCTAATTCGCTTAATTCATATATTAGAGATCCCATTTTTTCACACACCATTAATATTGGGATCCTTCATATTTAACTCACTATTCATACAAGGTGGTGCCCCCTAGATATTTGGTTTATAAACCCCATTAACTATATAGATATAACACCTATAAACCATAGTTATTGGAGTTATAAACCAACTTAGCTATCTTGGGGGCACCATCTTGTAGTTTATTGGAGTTATGTGGCCCCCAACTTGGCCATCGTAAGAGAGGGCCCCACATCGTAGAGACAAAAACATAGCCATGCAACAAGGAAAAAACACCTCAATGGGTTAACCCAATATATATTGTATAAAGCATATAATCATATATAGTGTATATAATCTATAAAATATTCATAACATCCTCGTGGGCCGGGATGCAATCCTCATCTGTATAAATCACAGAGGGCACGTCCGTGTCAAAACGATGATGACCCTGAGCACGGTGTAACTTGGTGGTTAGTATAGGTGGTAACCACCAACCAGTCACTATTCATAGGTCGCCTAATAGGACGGGATGATTCTACACGTTCCACCAGGTGGACGATCCCGATCTGGGCGACCTGGACATCGGCGTGGCCTCGCCGGACGCCTCGCCGGCACCGGACGTGGCGGAAAGCGCGGGGACGGAGGCGCCGTGGGGAACGATGTGGAAACGGTACCCATCTATAGCTGGGGAAAACCATAGGAAAACCATAGGAAAACCGTAGGAATAAGAAAATGGAGGTTTTACCCTGAGGGAATTTTCGGGAATGATCCATAATCACTAGTAATAAATAATCATCCCAGCAACCCCCAGCAACCCATCCATTCCCTACGTTTAGCACCAGTAAGTTATAACTGGGGAAAATGGCCCACTTATAGATGGTTAGTATAACTGGTGTTAGTATAACTGGGGGGTTATGGGCCGAAAGTGCCAGTTATACTAACAGTTTGCTATGGAAGCCATGGTCTACCGTTCTTAAAAATGGTGATTTACGCCGCAGGTTTGGGCCTGTTGGCCCGGAGACGGTCGATGGTTCCGCGCCAAGGTGGCGCGTTAATGGGCCATGTTCCAGTTCGCTACGTTAAAGAAAACCAATGGGTAGATCAAAGATGACATGGTTTTTATGTTGGTTTCATTGATTAGATGGTTTGATTTGATGAGTAGGGTTTTTTCAGGCGAGTTTTCTGGGGATATAATGGAATGTTAGCCAAATATACTTGTTTTTTTAGTTTTTCAATGCATGGGGCATCCCCACAAATAAACAAAATCTCCAGGGTACCCTATTTATGGAAAGCCTTGGATTTTGGGGCACACTAATTTTGGACAAAGCCGGATCAAAGATGAGTGAGTTGTTCTTTAGACTTATCCAGAAGGTGGGCATGGTACTGAATAGTTGCCTCTAATACTATGGTGATTTATCCAAAAAATATCGATTGTTCTGAACCGATGGAAGCAAGAAAAGATGGGGGACTTGAACCGACTTGACCAAAAGACATGGTGAGACATGGCTTCTGAAGGTCGTGACATCAACAAGTTGTCCACAAGACCAGTGATCTATCGCAGCAAAACAGGATTTGATAAGGATTTATCCAACCAGCGAAATGGTCCATGAATGTTTATCATCACTTGTTGGGTTGAAACCAACCAGAGGATATCAGTAATATCAGTATAATTATGCATATAAGAATGAACCATTTCTGAGGGCGACATCCTAATGGTTGCTGCTACGACAACTACGCAAGATATTTGCAACCTAGTTTCAAAGGAACGTGCATAAACCTCTTGCAACCAATATATAAACGCATGATGCATGTATGTAATACAGACACCTAGACCCTCCAAAAAATACCCCTCGAACATGGAACTAAGATTATGGGTTAACACACCATTTTTGAGGATACTTGGAGGATCTAGGTGCTGATAATAATAGAACATATGATGGGGATATGGGCAGATAGTCTCGTCCTTTTTTTTTTCCCAAGGAATATGTATATGGGTGATTTTCCATTATAAACTATCCATTTTTTGGTATCCCCATTGTAGGAAACCTTAGATTTTTATCGATTGATCCCAGTATTAACCCAAAGGCCTAAGAGCTTCACCACCCATGGATCCATGGCTTCTGAGAGTATTAGAATGAATGAAAAATCATCCCGTAAGCATCCCAAAAATGCCATTTGGCCCGTAAAATCCCATGAAATCCCATTGAAACAGTAACATGTTGCCCCTATATCATCTACTCTCATGTTGCCCGTAAAATCCCTATGAAATCCCATTTTGACCAGCAAAACGTCAGCACTTTTTGTTGGACTTGGATCAGGTCACCAGCGTGAGAGGTAGCAGCGTGTCAGTGGCCTGGCTGCGGCGCGGCAGCGAGAAAGTGGGCGAGGTCGCGACGGTCGCGGCTTTGGGATGGAAAGATTCACCCCCATGGTATGGCAAGAGCAGTGTCCCAGGGTTATGAATCTGGTTGGTGGTTTTTGGCGAAAATATATGGGATATATATATATATATGGGATATATGTGGGATATATGTGGGATATATGGGATATATGGGATATATAATGTATGGATATACGGCTGGTTGGTGGTTTGGATCATGTTTGGTTATCATGTTTCCTCAATAGTGATGATGATCCGATCTGACTTTCACTCATATTTTTCGGTTGGGGGTAGGTCAACATAGGACAACCACCAATTCGTGAATGGTTCGAAAAGGGAGGATCCTCCAGTGATCAACGTGTTTTAATATGTTATAATCCCATATATCCCAATTTGTTTATCCATTTACGAACTATAGCTAGGCCCATACCTGGGATATCTTACTTATAGTCAGGCCATGGTCGTTACTTATAGATGGGCCATTTACTCACTAAATATATGGGATATATGGGATAACCCATGGCCCATTTACTAACTAATAGTTAACTAACTCCATGGCCCATCTGGCCCTAACGACTCGTCTGGCGTCTGCCTGCATCGCCAGGAAGATGAGTATTTGTCCTCCACGGGTTGTGACGAGCTGTGCGAGCCTCAGGTCCTCCCTCGGGTCCCTACACGACACCAGGACCATGGTGGATGTAGGGGGTTTGAACACAGAGAAAACCATAGTTAAATGCAGCTGGGGTGTAACTGATATAAATGGGGGATGGGATTGGCTATCATTTTTGGTTGGCTAGTAACTTTGAATAAGTATCATTGAATCAACTGTCATTGAACTATCATGTGCCTTCTGGTAATCAAACATGGCAATGGACAAGTCCCCATTTATACATGATTGTCCCATGAGAAGCTCTGTTTATATACAGGGGATCCCCCAATGCCATGGACAAATATTACGATACAGCTCAGGTATAATGCGATACTTGGCGGTGTATCCTAGCTCTGTCACCATGGATGTTGGACCAATGCTACTCTATAGCCAATGAGCAAACCAAGTATTGACGAGCGATTGGTTGTATTATTAAGTGACCGATGACCCATGACGTCATGACATCACTATGATCATGAGAAAAGTAAAGCCGGAGGATGGTTCTGGCAGGATGGTTCTGGTCGGCACGTATCGTTGAGAGTGGGATACTCCATTCTCTCGATGCTTTTGACGATCTTATGTGCCATGGTCAAAAGTTGGATTGTAGTGAGATGGTCATACCACCATCAATAGCTAATTCAATGCAGGTTGCCTACCCTCCCTAGCTGGATCTTCCAAGCTGGATATCATTTGGATGTTCCATTCCCAGGAGACCCATGTTTGATCATGTTTGTTTTTTCTCCCAAGATACAAACATTTTACAGAAACCACCATCGTTTCTGGAGGATATTAACCCAAAAATATCTTCCCATATTTATCCATATTTGCTGTATCGAACAAATAAGAAATTTGAGGATAGACCAAAGCTATACCGCAACGTGGCTACTATTGCGCCCAGGCTGTTCACACGACTTCCTCACGCGAGCGCCGCAGCCTCAGGGTTTTTTCGAAATCGCCATGGTGTTGGGCTCAGAAGCCCCACATGGGGATGGGGCCAAAACCTATGAAATTACTGGTTGGTAGTTTCGAAAATGTTTTATTTTCCATAATATATGGCATAATCCTTCCCATTGACTAATATTTTTCAGAGGGGTTGAAACCACCAACCAGATTACCATCTGACTGGGGTATTTTTAGATCCATCAACTATTTCAGGGTACGGTTTGGGTAGGGTTTTCACTCATAACATACCAAATGGTTGGAAAAAGGTCAAAGGAAAGTTTTACAGCCTCTTTAGATCCCGCTGAGCCAATGATCTTGGGATGACTCATGGGAATGCCTGCTTAGTTGGTTTGTAAGTAGGCCAACTGGGGCCCTGGGGTTTCTGCTGGATAGATCTATAGTGGGGCTTATGAACCAGCTGATAACTGCGGCGCACCACATTGTGCCTATAGTCATATTTAACATGTTAAGATGTGTTTGTTTTTCCAAATCATTGTGCAACAAACATGTGAACAGATTGTTGAAACGAGAAAAACACAAACAAAAAATGGGTCTGATACCCTCTGGTGATTTAACATTTCCCCTGTGCACTGAGGTTTGCGGTGATCGTTGTGAGTGGCCGCGGCTGTATGCTCAAGTGTTTCGATGTGGCAGTCCTTTGCTGCAGGTGCCGCATGGGCGGTTGCGTTGGTTCGAGGGTCCGGTGAGGTCCCAGCGTGCCATTGCACGTGCCGCTGTGAAATTGCGGAACAGCCCAGTGGACTGGGGTGGGAATTGGTGAAGGCAATCATCGGGGTTTGCATTGGTATTCTCCTACAGCTGTTTGAGGTTGGATCCTTCCTGCTCCGGCGTATTTGGCCCGTGAATTTTTGCGGTGACCACGGAGTTAGGGAGAGTGATCAGCCACGACGAGTTGAAGAGGTGATTTCATCGACTGACGTGGAGCAACGGGCCAAGGAGCAGATCGCGGCCTTGAAGTCTAGACGTTGAGATGTCCTTGCAAGAAGGTACCCGGGTGTTTGTGTGCTATGATCTTCCACCCCCTGCTCTCTGGCATGAACGATACATTCTAGCTAGGTGCGCCTGTGGTCAAGGTTACCATATCGTCCTCACACCTGATCGAGACATATACCCTGAACAGATTTCATTGGAAAACTCTGATTTGTCTGGGTTTCGAATTGTGGTGGGGAACGCATTGCCCTTCGGATTGGATCACACCAACACTTATCGCATCAGGAATCTACCAATTGGGGCTGAAATGGATCAGTTTCGCATGGATGCCCGACACGCTGCCAATGCTATGGCAGTGATTCCTGGAGTGGCTGTTGCCCCGGTTGGGGGTGTGGCGGGTGCTGGTGTCGTTCAGGCAGGTGGCGGTGCTCAAGGAGATGAAGGTTCCAAATGGCTCGTGGTTGAGACTGATGGTGGCCGAGTCCGAGGGGATCCGGTCACTTTAGATGGGTCGGAAATCATTCATGGAGCTGTTGGATTGAAGTCACAGGATGGGAGGTTCTATGCTATTCGACAGGTGCCGACCGCCGAGGTTGAGAAGTACGCTGGGAAGGAAGCTGCTGCAGATGCCAGGTTGTTGGGCGTGGCCTTTCAGAACAAGTCGCGTGTTGAACGGCTTTGGCGAGATGTTGCAAGTGATATGACCCAGGAAAGCTTCGATGACTGGAATGTCCCTGGACCGAGAACTGCGCATTGGTGCTCGCAATTCCTGAATCGACGGAATGGCGGGCCCACTGAACATCACCGATATTGGGTTTCAAACAACGGATTGACCTCTGACATGTGGGGAGTCATGGAACACGAGAACCTCATGAAGGTGCTGGACAAAATGGGCAGGTTTGATGGGCTTGATTTGTCGAACATTGCAGCTGCAGAGATGGCGTTTAGGCGAGTTCAACTGATCGAGTACTTCTACTCGGACAAGGGGCCAGGGGGTGGGAAGGGATCTGGGAAGGACAAGGACAAAAAGCATGAAGACTTGTCCTACAAATCCGAGGCTGCCATCTTCACTGGAACTCATCGTGAATTTGGAGATGTTATTATGGTAGCCCCAGATCTCCTCGAATATGTGTCGAAAGAAGTTGAACGAGATGCTGCCGTCCTCAAGCAGGTCCGCAAGGCCAGGGAAGAGAGGGCGGCGGCCAGTAAGTAGCCTTATTGCATCTGGGATCAGAGCACTGGACCTGATCCGTTTGGGGGCGCCTTTTCCTGGTTTGGCTGGGGCTACTTCCTTTCCTTCTTCATCGTTTTTGACTATGACTCGTGAGACCGGCTCTGACCGCAGACAACGGGGAATTTTTCCGCTCCCCATTCCATCTGTGAGAGATGAGCCAAGCAGTGATTTTTCTAGGACCACTCGTCGGAAGCATTTTGAGCACAGGCATGCTGATAAGTGGGTCCAAGACATGGTTTGCACGTTGAACAGTATGTATGCTGGTTCTGAATTCGTGGCACAAAGTTTTGAGTCGCCTTTTAAAGCCAATCTGTCTCAACAACTTGTTTTAGATAGGCTTAAGGACTCTGTTAATCAACTGGGTAAGCCGCCTAGTGATGTGAATGGTCGGGGAGCTTTGTTGGAGCTCCAGGCCGGTTTGGGCTACGCAGGTGAATCTTTGCCTGCCAGCTTGGCTGGGTATTCGAGAGACCTTGTGTCTCTGCCTGAGGTTGGTGGTGTCCCTTCTTCTTTGGATAACATCTTTGGTTCTCAGGCTCCTTTAATTTTGGATACCTTGCGCCATGAGCTTTTATCCCCGGGGGTTGCGAAAGCCAGGGTTGTAGATAGTGAGCTGCAGCGGCCGTACGTTGATCCGATTTTGCTTCATCAGAAAGCTGTGTATGCCGATTTCATCCAACGGCTATTTCACTCGAATCTGGTGGAGTTTCGTCTGAAGGCTCGGGAAAGTGTGGGAGTATTTTTTGTGTGGAAGAAGTCGGGGAGACAACGCATGGTGATTGATGCTCGGAAGTCCAATTTATGGTTTGATACACCCCATAAGGTTTCTTTGGCAACTGGAAGTGCTTTTGCTCGGATTCAAGTTGATGATGGTCCACCCGTCCAAGTGGGCGGAGTGGATATCAGTGACGCGTTTTACCGTATCGAACTTCCTTCTGAATTCAGAGATCTTTTCGCGCTCCCACCGCTCTCTGCGAGGGCGTTGGGTCTGACTGCTCTGGAGGGGCAGGCCATTCCTGGAGGCCAACTTATTTTTCCTTGTGTCCGGGTTGTACCAATGGGTTGGAGCCATGGTTATGCCAACGTTGTCACGAAGTTGCAGTTGATTCTTTGAAACATATTCCCCCATCTTTAAGGTTCACGGATGCTGCACCAATCCCACCGATGCAGCCATTCATTCACACGGAGTACGTTGATAATTTCATTGCACTGTCACAGGATACTGCACTGGTAGGTCAACTAGCTGCTTCTGTGGGGGATGAGCTCAATCGAAGGGGTCTTCCTACACATCCTGTCGAAGTATGTCAAGACACATTGGGATGGCATTTCAGTGAAAACCGACCCCAAGTCGAGATGAATCCTCGCAGGTTGTGGAAGCTGAGATTTGCCATTCTGCAGCTGATTGAGGACGGCTGGGGCTCGGGGCGATTGGTGGAAAAGATTGTGGGGCACATCACCTTTGCTGCTCTTCTTCGCAGAGAAATCCTTTCATGTTTGCAAGCTGTCTATGTTTACATTCGGAAGAGCTATCATGTTCACAGTCGTCTTTGGCCTGAAGTCAAGCGAGAATTGCGATGGGTTGCAAGTCTCCTTCCTCTCATTCAAAGGGATCTTTCTGCTGGTTGGGGTGATTATGTTCATGCAACTGATGCATCGCATTGGGGCCGAGGAGTTGCCCGCGCGGCCGTTCCCGCTGACATGATGAGGCACGAGTCGAAGTGGCATGATAGGTGGAGGTTTTCACGGGCTAGTGAGCATGATCTGCAATCTAGATTAGTCGAGGGTGCCAAAGGTGCTGAGGACATCTTAGAGTTTGAGAGGGACCAACTGCAACATGTGGGTGAACCCATTGATGAACTTTCTCCCGAATTTCTTGACAGAGAATGGACTCGGGTGGAGAGCAATGCTTGGAGCCGTCGAGAGCCCATCCCGGTCTTGGAAGGTCGGGCACTCGTTTGGCTGGTGCAGCATCTGGCCCGGTCCCAAGCAAACCATGGGAAGAGACATCTCATCATCTCAGATAGTATGACGTCCATCTTAGCTTTAAGTAAAGGTAGAGGTCATGCCAAATCGATGAACCGAGTTTGTCGACAGATTGCTGCATTAAGTCTTTCTTGTGGTCTTCAACTTCATTATCGCTGGGTTGCATCTGAACTTAATCCTGCAGACTCACCCTCAAGAAATAGGCCGGTTGACTTTGATTTCCATGACTGTCTTTCAAAATTTGTAGCTTCCAATGTTGCGACGGGCGGTCAAGCTTGGAGACGACAAGCACTGCGGTTCTATGAACAGAAAGTCGGGATCGCTGGCGGCCAGCAGCCTTGGGAAGCAGAGCCTGAAGACACAAATGGATCAGAAGTCTGTCCGGAAGCAGCAGAAGAGCATCAATCGGACTACCAAACATGGTCCGGCTCCGAGGGTGGATCACAGGAACATGGACAACTTGACATTCCTCGAGACCAAGAATGTATCCAAGAGTCGAAACCTGTCGTACCAGAAGGCTTGGGAAGAGTTCCAGACATTTGTGAGCAGAGAGCACATCAAGACCTCCACGTTGATGCAACTAGATGCTGCCGCTGCGTGGTGGATAGACCAGCTGTTTTTTGCCGGAGAAGATGTCGCAACGGTCATGACTTTCATGGCATCGGTGCTCCAACACAGGAGCGACGTTGTCAAGATGGCGTCAATGACACGAGCCATGAGATCAATGAAGGGCTTCAAGAAGATGGCGCCAGGCCAGAGCCGTGTGCCGCTCCCATTTCCAATGTTGTCAAGAATCGTGGAACAAATCGCCAAGGACCCGGACAACCGAATGGTTTGCGTGTGGTTGCTCATGACATGGCACATTGTCGGGAGACCGGGCGAGATGTTGAAACTTCAATGGCAGCATGTGGTCGCACCAAATCGCATCAATCCTTTCTGGTCAGTGATCACCTCCCCATCCTCGACCGAGGAAGGGTGTCATCAACCATCAAAGATCGGAGAGATGGACGAGAGTGTGACCTTGGACATGGAATTCCTGCAGTGGATGAAGCCCCTCCTGAAGACTCTCAAGCAAAGACACCTTCCCGAAGATCCAGTCTTCGACTTTCACCTCACAAAAGCCAACAAGCTCTTCAATATAGCACTGGATCAACTAGATTTCCGCTGACATGGAATCCAGTGTCCCTATCAGATCAGGCACGGGGCAGCTTCGACCGAAGTGCTTTGCAGGAAGCAGCCCCTCGAGCAAGTGATGAAGAAGGGCAGGTGGCGGACGTTGGTGTCAGTGAGGAGGTACGAGCAGGGAGGCAGACTCGCACAGGTTTTCGGGTTGCTTTCCGAAACGGAACAGAACAGATGCTTAGAAGCCGAAAGAAATTCAGCCCAGCTCTTGCTCCGCTCTTTTGGATGCAACGTTCCCCACCTGCATCGCTTTTCTTGGAACTCTTTGCAGGTGGAGGGGGCATCTCGAAAGCGGTCAAGAAAGTCATGAAAGGCAAAGTCACTGTGGTTACCATAGATATCCTTCAGAGCACTGTGCATGACCTTGAGAAAAAGAGTTTGCAATCCTTCATTGTTGACTTGATCGAACGGGGCTTGGTAGTGGGAGTGTGGATGGGTACACCATGCACCAGCTGGAGTCGGGCTCGTCGCCATGATGGGAAAGGGCCACCTCCGCTTAGGTCCGATGAGCATCTATGGGGCCTTGCAGGTCTCAACCTCAAAGACCAGGCTCGGGTGAAGTCCGGAAACAACCACCTGCTCTTTTCTCTTCGGGTGTTTAGACTTTGTCATCGTATGTGTATCCCGGTGACCATCGAGAATCCCTCTACCTCTCGCATGTGGCTGGTTAGACAGATCCAACAACTTTGTTCTTGTTCTGGGGTGAAGTGGCTCACAACAGACTACTGCCAAGACGGAAAGCCTTGGCGGAAACGAACAGGGCTTCTCACCTCAGGTGTAGATCTTGCGCTGGCTGTTCGCAAGTGTGAGTCTAAGAACGGAGTTTGCAGTTTTTCTGGTCGTAAACATGTGCAATTAGTAGGGCAATGCAATGGGCAGTTCCGTACATTAGCTGCACAACCTTATCCTCATGGGCTTTGCAGAAGGGTTGCCATCGCGTATTCGCATGTTATTTTTGACTATTGGGCACGGCCTTTGATGAGCATGTTTGGCTTCACCTCGTAGCTTCTTCTTCCAATCATTTCTCTCGCATTGCTCCTTTTCATCTCGGCCAGACACATCATGGGTTCCGGGTGCAACACATTTAGATTGGCTGAATCTGCTGTCACTTTTTGAAGACAGCAGTGATGTTTTTCGAAGTGCGCACCTCGATATAGATCGTCACTGGCCACGGTGAAAAAGATTGGAGCATTTCCCCTGTGCACTGAGGTTTGCGGTGATCGTTGTGAGTGGCCGCGGCTGTATGCTCAAGTGTTCCCCCCCTGGCTTTCGCTCCCCCCCGATTTTAAGCTGGCTGAATCTGCTGTCACTTTTTGAAGACAGCAGTGATGTTTTTCGAAGTGCGCACCTCGATATAGATCGTCACTGGCCACGGTGAAAAAGATTGGAGCATAGCTATGGAAAATCACAATTTTTAATGGGTAAATCCACTATTTCTATGGCCATGTTCAATAGCTTTTTGTATGTTTACCAGGCCGGATACCCAGATTTCATCCAGGATATACCCATTCTTTCCCCTTGATGGTCGGTCCCCAGAAAGGTTGTGACGGCCAAAGATCGTCCTGCTCAAGCGGTGGTGGAAAAGGCGAGAAGAGCCAAGCCGTTTCCTCCCGAGGATGGGATGTGCGTCTCGATGATTGAAAACTAGTTATATTATTATGGAGGTTTCCTAAAATTTTAGGGTAGCCCCAGTCATCCAAGTCAGACAATTTCAGGTCTATAAAGTCTATAATTCTGGGGATACGCCATTCAGAATAACAGAGAATAACCCTATACGATATATGAGATGAAATATGTGTATAATGATCTTGGCGGTATCACCACTTATTGATTATGTGTAAGTAGACTTATTATAGGATCGTCATACGGATAGCAATCATACTTATTGTGCATAGAACAATCATCATCCAGTTGCCGCAAACAGATATGGAGGTTCCCTAAAATGGGTGTACCCCAAAACACATCATAGGGTCCAGAGTTACTAACATGGTCCAAGTTTGGAAAAAACATTGCTACCCCCATTTTAGGAACCCCCCCAAAATACTTTTCAGTTCAACAATCATCGGTGCATCCTGGCAAAGGCGGACCGGTGGCGCCAGCAATTGGGCAGGGTGGAGGTGGGGCAGTGGGGGACTTGGGACCCAAAGGGTCAATGGTTCCCAGGTTTTTTACTGGGGAGTGGTGCCTGAGAGTTGGGAGAGTTGGCTGACAAGTAGCTTCAACCGAGGTTTATGATAGATATCTATAGCTGAGTGATGTTGAGTGGGTGAACATATGCCAACAAACATCAATAAACATGACTGTGGGGGTCACCTGCTAGTATATCTGCGCTCACTTACCATAGGTTTTCTTTTCCACAATTGATATCAATTATATAATCATTTTTATCCAACAAACCACAAAGCATTCAAAAACACAACATGTATTGCCTGTGGTTTGAAATTGTATTCTTTCCCATCACTGAAAACGGCATGATGATGTCAGTTTACCGACATGTTTGTGCAGATGGATTGAATTCAGCAACCACAAAATGTTTTCAACCCTGTAGTTATTGACCTATAACTGTTATATATATAATCATATATATATATGTATATAGATATGATTATTTTTATTGGTACATAGCCTATAGCTACGGAAATTCCATGTGGGTAAAATCATAGGCTTACGATCGAAAAAGGAGCTTGGGATACCATAAATCACAGAATCCATCGATTTCACCGACATAAACTGTAAATTTCACCACCTTGAAATACCAACTTACATCACATGATAATCCAGGATATATAAGGATCGATTAATATCATTAATATCCCCAAAAAATACCAGTTTTCTTTTGCCCGTTTATTTGGCATTTATATCAGAAACTATGGCTGTTCACCTGAACTTTGCGCAGGAGCTGAGCCAGCGCTTTCGCAGTTTGCGGAACGCTCCTTGGAGCAGAGCGATGATCCAAATTGCCAGAGGAAGGATGGTAACACCCTACAATGTGGGGCCCCCTGTTTACGATAGCTAAAATTGACGCACATTACCTTTTTCTATCTGGGTTTATGCAGGATCAACTCAACTGATATAACTATATATGATTAGAATGGGTGCATGCGAATTATCAGAATATCCACAGAGTTAAGATACAATTATATTCATGGCTTATTCCATAGTAATTATAAGATAAATATGTTTATTCACATGTTTCTTGTCAAAAGAACAATAGGGGAAAACAACCATAAACGACTCCCATTGGGCAATTGTTAACTGGTTGGTGGTTTCAAACATTTTTTTAGTTTCCATTTCATATATGGGATGTCATCCTTCCCATTGGCTAACTCCATCATTTTTTCAAGATGGGCACAGCCAGCACCACCAAGCAGTTAAAATACCGCCCATGAGGTCCATAGGAATGGTGATGGCATGGGGACCCTGGGGATGGTGGTGCACTATGGCATTGTACAGATATGGAACGTGCACTATGAAACAAGACCATGGGTTTTCCAGATGAGCCATATGGGGACTTTCCATAAATGGGGGCACCCCAAAATTTACAGGATTTATTTTCTGGAAAATCCATCTATAAATGATTATAAATGGATGATTTGGGGGGTACGCCTATTTTAGGAAACCTCCATATCTATGTCAGTTTAGGGATACTATGTCAGTGGATGTACAACTCCTGCAAAGCCGATTTTGTTGAAGCCCGGAGAGGACTCAGTGGACTCCTTTTGTGATTGACATACCCTCTGGTTATGTCAACATAGCTATTGAAAATGGCCATAGAAATAGTGGGTTTACCCATTGATAGCATGGTGATTTTCCATAGTTTTCTGTATGTTTACCAGAGGGTACCATGTGCATGGTGCATTTTCATCATCTTCATCCGCCATGATTCGCGAAGTTTCACCAGTTTAATCCAGAAAGTGGATGCAACTAGTACGCATGGTGGATTTTACCAACACAATTGATATATCAAACAAAGGAAAGAGTTACACTTGACCAATGAACAAGCAAAGGATTGTATCAGCGTGCAATTGTGCATTTACTTGCATGCGGAACCCATTGAGTATATAAACAACATGTGTATATTATATATATATTATATATATATATGCATACATGACTGGTTGTACCCACATATTTGCATCCTCAGCGGACTCGTAAAAATAGGCACACGTACCACCATTTATGACTAACGAAGTTTTATAGGTAAGTTGACTGTTTATGTAAAACTATATGGTAAAACCATGCTTGAACCACTTGGCCATGAGTCAAAGCCCTTAAATCTCATCGTTTTCATTTCAAAATAGCTGGGAGTCATGGATGTCCATCCCAGAAAGAAAAATATAAGATCCGTGGTTTTTATCCACCCCCAGTTACCATTCGAGATGCTCTGGAGCGCCTTTCTGACCGACACGAGGCGTGCAACAAACTGGCGGCACAAAGTGCTGGACCGTTGCCACGCGATCCCTTGCAGGGCTTAGTCAGGGGCCCCCAGCGGTGGGGCCGTTGAACCTGGTATACTGAGTATACTGTGCAAGAGGATGCCCCAGTTAGCTAAGTTGATTTATAACTAGGCAAAGAAAGCGTTTTCCTTGTGAGACTAGTAGATGTTTTGTTTTCATGTTTTTATCATGTCTAAGTCTTGTTTGAGTGACGCAAAGGATGCCAATTGATTACAGTTGACTGAATTGTTCTGGTGGAATGACCAAATTATCGTACATTTCCATGCTGATGAGGAGAAGCAAGCTGTTTAACGAAGCAGAACATCTAAGGGTTCCACTATTCTGACTACAGCATGATTCTAATCATGTTCCTGATGAGAATCCATATTGTGTTAAGTTCCCATTCCAGTCCTCAAACGTGCAAACCATACCCTCCGGTAATCAGCCACATGGCTGGCTGGAAAATTACCACCATTTCTAGTGGATTTCCAATTGCCCCCGTTGGATTACTGGAGGGATTCCTATGACAATCCCTATGGATGTGCCATAGAGTTGGATATGTGATTAGTAGCTGGAAGATATCTCCATTAGATCCCATTAGGATTGGGAGTTATAACTCAATCGCTAATCACTTATATAACATTATATGGCTGCGGCTCAAAATGTAAGGTTCCGATCCATACCCCGGTACCACATGCGATCCATACCCCATGATCTATACCAAAACGCAGGTGATCCAGACCGATCCATACGTCCGGATCACCCGCGGAACGATCCATACCCGTTTTTTGAGCCATACCCATATAACTAGTTCCATGATATGTCATGGCCCATCTAAGCACGAGAGTTCAGTCGCATAATTGCATGAGTTGGTGAAAATAAGTTGGCTTGCTTGGGTTCATGGTGATTATGATACATTGTGATGATAAGTAGGGTGAACATAAACTGGAGGCATGTACGCAAACCCTTGACGCTTACAGTGGGCCATCATAGATGGACGATCCATGTTTGACAGACTGACTTCGTCATATTGTCATCGCACTGTTGAGAGGTTGTTTCGTTTGTTGATTCTTCATTGGTGTCAACTGACTCCCGGATGTTCTGGTCATTTGACTCGAACACAGTTGGGGATCAGCTTTGGCCAGGACCGTGGTCAGGCCGATTTGAAAGACATACGTGGTGTGGCCTGGAGCAAGAACTGTTTGTGCACTGTCCTAAAGTGGAGGTATGCAACTGCGGCATCAAGCGTGTTGAGCAAAAGGAATACTACAGCGAGGATTGCTGGGAGCGCTGGGTCCAAGAAGAAGCGGCCGACTTACGGTGATTTACTGGCGTTGCTTCAGCCACCATTTGCCACAAGCACAGAAAGTTGAGCTGCGCCAATAGCAAGCACGGCAAGTCCGCAAACATTCCTGCCCCAGCAACTTCAGAGGTCTATTCCAAAGGACCTTTCTCAGGCTTGATCTTTGTGAAATGCCATTCCGAAACACACCGCATCCCTCGTTCAAAGCATTCGCGATGCAGCCAAAGAACCTCAAGACCCAGCGCTAAACAGCCAAAGTAGCTAGCGGGCGCCAAAGCCTATCGCTGTTTGGTCACCACTTTTTATTGTAGGTATAAATACACCATACACGGAGCATCCACATGTATGATAAGTCCTTGAATTGACTTCCTTATGATACTCCCTACAAGGTGGCGCCCGATTTCTGTAGCTAAGTTGGTTAACCTATCTACTTTTAACTATGGTTCAGGGATGCTATAGTTCAATGGGTCAGTGCGCCAACTTCAAACTTGCTATGATCACCACCATACTACCATAAGTATCATACTTACTTTGATCACTACCCTTCAACATCCTGAGTATATTCATTGGAATTTTACTGGAGTATTACAATCATTACTTAACGTACGATATAACACGCCAAGCACTGGTTATGAGTAATATGTTTTTTTGTTTATATGAGTAATACCAGTAGTGCTCGACTCGTACTATTCATTATTATTCCCAGGTCTTCGTTCGTACCACTTGTTTTTCTGGGAGATTAGGTTGTTGACTTCTTGAGATAAATTCTCTCAAATTCTTGATCTTCTAGCAACCTACAAGGTGGCCCCCTAGTTATAAATTGGTGTATAAACCCCAGTAACTAGTTCGTTATAAGTACCATAAACTATAGTGAAATTGGAGTTAGGTTCACCAACTTAGCTATCGTAAACGGGGGCCCACTTTGTAGAGCTACGTGAACGGAGGCCGAACAACTGGCGGCGCTGCGCAGCGAGAGCGAGGCGCGGATGGCGGTCAGGAGGCCCAGAATGGGGCGCGAATGGCACTGGGTCAACCTTAGATGGATCAACTACCCTCTGGTAATTTAACGTAGCTATTGAAAATGGCCATTTATAGTGGATTTGCCCATTGAAAATGGTGATTATCCATAGTTATGTTAGTTTACCAGGGGGTATAGTTGCTCTCTGGTAATCTCTCTGGTTATGTGTCCAGTCCAGTTGGTTATCAAGGGACAAAGCCATAATGACTAACATAGCTATTGAAGTGGCCCATGGGTCCTATGTGTCCTATGGGTCATCATAATCCCTGATCAATTCATTTCTGGTTGGTGGTTTGGAACATTTTTTATTTTTCCATAATATTGGGAATGTCATAATCCCAACTGACGTTCATATTTTTCGGAGGGGTTGAAGCCACCAACCAGCTGGTAATGACTAACATAGCTATTGAAATGGCCCATCTAAGCACGAGAGTTCGGTCGCATAGTTGCATGAGTTGGTTGGTACTAAGTTGGCGCTAGCTTGGGTTCATGGTGATTATGATACATTGTGATCTGGTTGGTGGTTTGGAACGTGACTTTTATGACTTTCCATAATATTGGGAAGAATAATCCCAACTGACGAACTCATATTTTTCGGAGGGGTAGGTCAACCACCAACCAGCTAACATAGCTATTGAAATGGCCCATTTATAGTTGATTTATCTATGAAAGATGGTGTTGTTTTATTGATTTACCATAGCTATGTTAGCTTACCAGAGTGTATAACAGCATGGATAACACGGATAATATACTTATACTTATACTGAGATAATTTCAAGAGTTATAAGTTGTAGGTATCATTGAGTCAGCTATGCAGTATAGATTGTCACTAAGTATGGATACTTCTCCTGGATAGGTATGGATAGATAACAAACATAACTCTACTTTTTGAATGTATCATTGAGTATGGATAGAGAGTAACCATTGAGTCATGGAACTATTTTGATACTATGGAGCGGTTTATGGATACCAACCATTGACAATGTTATTCGCGTATCAGAAACCAGAGTGAAATGCTACAATGTTCATGATGACTATAAAACTACAGTATACTACAGTATACTACAGTATTCATATGGTTTATGATGATTATGACTGTAGTATCCATCCTACTGAAAAAAATATCTTTTAGAAACGAGTAGATAGGAAAGTAACACCCTACTGAAGTAATTAAACAATCATTTTCCGGCCCCCAGTTATAAGCTGGTTTATAGACCCCATGAATATTAGTATCATTAAAACATTGGTGAGTTACTTACTTGTTATTTCCAATCAACTTTGCGATTTCGCTCTGTGGCCCCACCTTGAATGTGGTGAAATTTGTTGTTGCTTCTAGGCAAACGGTTGGATTTATGATGGATATATCTAGATATCCCCACATGTGTATAAATATATACATGTATAATGTATATAAACATGGAATTGTTGGTGTCAAACCTGTTTGGAGTGAATACCATACATGCTACATCTTTGGTAAAATCCACGTTCTTGTTTTGTCCCTTCACCAGTCCAGAGATTGGTCTGATTGGTGTAATGACAGGTTTGGACTTGTTGGACATGTTCTTGTATACATTGTGCCTTTAAGTATACGCATATACAGTACATATAACCTCAACAGGAGTTTTCTAAGAGTCCAATTGGGTCAACAGAAAGTGAAACATGGACAAGCCAACTAGAACTGCTACATGGGAGCTCCATCATTCTTTCGGCTGAACTCGGCCGAGTGATCAGCCGAGGACTTGTTGGGCGCAGCCGAAGCAAGAGCCAGCGTGGGGGACTGTTCAGTGGGAGCTAGGGATGATGGACAACACAGATCCAGGCAGGAGTTGCCACAAGGTGGTGCCCCTGTTTACGATAGCTAAGTTGGTGAACATAACTCCAGTTTCACTATGGTTTATTGGTGATATATCACTACGGCACCACCTCGCAGGTGATTTATTCCTCAAAAAAAAACAGCACACTCCAAGAGGAGAATAGGGGATACCTCACTTCAATGGCTATTTGCTATAGGGAACATGAGAAAATTAACCACTGGATTTGGGGGTTACCATGGGTTACCCTATTTTCAGATTCAAACCCATGTTCTAGAATGTTCTAGACATTTCAAGACCGATTTCTAGGGTCTAGCTTAGTTTTGAAGATGAAAGAGCTGTGCTTGGCCCGCTGTTCACACATGTTTTCTGTATCCCAAGTCAACTGTTGTTTGTATCAAAGTGGATAGTGGAATCAGCTTTACTTGAGTGTGTGTGAGCCCCTTGAAAAGCAATGAGTTGCCTTGTGGTTTTGGTCACGGCTCTTGTTTTCATCTTGATGCGTTTGGTCATGTCAAAATACTTTCAAAATACAACACCCCATGTTCTTGTCTCAACACTCAAAACTGTCACAATCACACGCTATCAGCTTTCCGATGACAGTAAGAACAGCTTCCGGTGTGTTGTCATTTCTTTTGAGGAAATGTGTGAGATTCGCTGCTTATGAACGTGACAAACAAACTGTTGTGGAGTTGAATTGCTCGTTACCCTGTACAACATGTATAAAGGAAGCTGAACGTACAAAACATGTTTTACCTGTGGAAGGGCAATCATTATAATTTCCTGGAATTATCCAGATTCATTTTTTTTCATGGGAATCTATTGGACATTGCCAAGGCCGGTGGTGGCATCAACGAACAGTTTCTCAACGGCAGATGCGCCACGTGGGGCATGAATGAGATACAGGGTCCTAGAAATCTTGCCTTTTGTCAGGTTATAGCCAAAATTTGGCCATTTGAAACATGTTGATTCTACATTTGTTCAGAGGTTTGCATGCATCTAATTCAATCAATGACTTCAAGATGGAAGCACCAAGAAGTTCCAACAGACACTTGCTTCCAGCTTCGGATTCTGTAGTCTCAAGCAACCCACTGGTTTTCTTTACAAAGAAGGGCCAACAGCTCAACCTGAGAAGAATTATATAGCTGAAATTTGGATGTCGTTAGAACAACATGCCTTGCAGCCCCCAAATCCTGACAGGGTCATGTTAGGGGATGGTACATGGTAAATGGTCATGTTTTCATGGGGCACAAACCCCATCAACTTCAAGGTCAAGCCCCCAGCGTGAACAAAATCCATCTATGTCCGGGACGAGGATCCATCAGCGTAGCCTGGGTAGACCAGTTTGATTGGGTGCTATCCTTCACATCCCACCATTTAGAAACTGGTTTCTGCGGGACCTTTATGCTCTCACAACATATGCGTTGTATTGCTGTGTTCTTTTTTTAACCATGTGGGGCCCCCAAACAATTAAGTTGATTTATTTCACTATGCTTTACGATCCTTGCCAAATCCTGTAACTGTATTCATCTGGTTAAATTATAACGACCTCACTGTTCTCCCTCACTGGAATCCTGGTTAGTAAGGGAAATCATCTCCAAATGGCCTTATTTCAGGTTAGTGAAATACAATTTACCCAGCTATATATAATGACATACAGTATGATACTATATGATACTATATGATTATAATTTACCCAGATTCATGGGTTTTTTGTTAACCAACAACCATTCCTCGGCCCCACATTACAATCCTTACATGCTGACGCCCGAGGCTCAGCAGCAGCACGGAGGGCTTCCAGGCCGCGGTTTTTTGTGGTCACTGGGGTGATTCTTTGACCAATTTTCACAAGGAAAACGTGTGGGATCTTGAAATTCGGAATTGGTTTGAATGCGGATGAGGTAAATCCAGGTAAATTATATAAATCCCCCCATTAAATTATGCAAAGATCAGTTCTTTCACGAAGGACCCAATTCAATTCTTACCAACAAATTACTGTAAGTATAGAAATTGTACCAATACATTCCTGTACTTCAATTTAATTCCGTTCCTACAATGTGGGCCCCCCCAGCTATAAGTTGGTTTATAAACCCCAGTAACTATGGTTCTAAGTACCATAAACTATAGTTATCGGAGTTACGTTCACCAACTTAGCTATCTAGGGGGCCCCACTTTGTATACTGAATTCACTTCTTATCAACGCGTCTGGCAGGGTTGGGGGGTTGGGTTACCAGCTGCGCACGGCCAGGTTGAGATTGATTCCATGCACCAAGAGCAGCAGGCCGGAGGATTTTGCCGGAAAAGGTGAGGGAACTTTCAACCGAGCAACCGATTACCCTCTGGTTATTTAACATAGCCATGGAAAATAGATGTTTTTGTTCCATTAAAACCTCCATTTATAAGGGATTCTCCATGGCTATGTTAAATAACCAGATGGTAATTGAATCAACTGGACATATGAAACAACGGGGTACCCTATAGTTAATCTAGAGATATGAGGTCTATAGTTCAGGCCTATGTCATTGGGAGACATCTGAAAATCTCCGAACATCTCCAACCAATCACCTGAAAATCCTCAGACATGTTCCGGAAACTCCCCAGCTATTCCCAGCTTTTCCCAGCCGCGCGCAAGGCCTTGCAGAGTCGTTTGAAGCAGCTGCAAGCAGAACGCCAGGATGTGTTGAAAAAGCTCCAGGCCTTTCGGAAACTCCGAGGAGTTTTCATGGTTGGGTACAGTTAATGGGGCCCCCGTTTACGATAGCGTTCAGTTGGTTGAAATAACACCATTAAGTATGGTTAATGATACTTATAACTTACAACTATAGTATTTCTCTGGGTCTAAAAATCAACTGGAAGGGCAACATTTTAGGGAAAATGGTGATATTTATAGCTATAGTATTCATGGGCTTTAAAAACCAACAAAGATCAGTGCGGGGTGCCGACATTGAAATAACTCCTTTTTGGCCGTAGCCACCAAGTCATCCATCTTGGGGTCCCAAAAATGTATGTAACATGGCTACAAGGCAGTGCCCCTGTTTACGATAGCTAAGTAGGTTGAAATAACTCCAATTTCACTGTGGTTTATAGTTGACATATCTATAGTTAATGGGGTTTATAAACCAATAAACATAGCTAGGGGGCACCACCTTGTATCAATTATCAAGCAGTGACTTGTTATCAAGACATATTGATCATGTTGATTGGTATGAATCTGATTTGGGTATTGATATTTGGTTAACCTCAAACCAGCAGCATGTTTCTCCCAAGGCTAACCTGTTTAGGATGAGATTAATCAGTGGATTCATTACCAGTGAGTTCTTGTGGTTGCCAGATATTACCCAAGATTAATCGACTGATCAATATGCATATTGATGTCTAAGAATATGGCCAATGGAATATGGTGTTTGTTTATCATGTTACTGAATGTGTTGAACACCCCATGTTGGTTTCATGTTTGATATTGTGCTCGATAACTCCCCTCACGGTAAATGGGGTATAGTTTATGAGTTTTGCGTTGCATTTATTAAATCAGTTGGTGTCCTACATGTCCTACCAAAGAAAAACACGTGGGAACAATGCTGTGCTACCATATTGGGATGGCTCAATTCCTATGGGACCATTGTTTTCATTGTTTTTGTGATGTATTTTGGAGGCATGAACGTCAACCATGCAACCAGCTTCAGTGAGGAGACCCCACCGGAATGATACTGGAAGTTTGGATTGAAGATCAGAAGTGGCTTGTAACCCTCATAAAACTAGCACATAAACCCGTTTCACAACTTTCAAGAACATCCAAGGAAGTACCACTGCCCATGTGGAAATGTCTAATCAGGCTGGAAAATGACAACTCTTGCCACTACATTTCAGTCCCTGCCCATGAAAAAGGCTATGCGGGAGCAGTTGAGAAGTCCTGCTCCGGAGCTTTGTAGCTTTAATTCGTCCCGCTTCGCAGGAGGAACACGTTGTAACTTCGAAGCCATGGCCGTGTAGGACCAAGAGACCTTCAGAACTTCGGCCTGTTTCTCAGCGCTATAGTCCACCGCCACCGCGGCTGCCAGGAAGTTTGCCAGGGAGGACCATTGACCATTTGCCTCGCGCACGAGCAGTGCGAGCGGCTTATGTCCACTTTCAGTATTATAATGTTGAACAGATGAGTTTGTCGTTTTTAAAAATCACAACCCTCTAAGATCATTTACATCGGGCAACTGAAAAAAGACTAATCAAAACTTACCAACCCATCAAGTGAAAAACCCCTAAAACCAGCCAGTACAATCACATGACATATTCGTAAAACCTTACTTCCAGATGTTTTTTTAGTCCCAGTATATGCCATGAGATTCCCAAAATTATGTCATATCCCGACTATATCTAATCATGTCCAAAAGCAGCTCAGATGTTCATTGATATTATAATACTGTATATGACGGAGAATCATATCATTTTGCATGACCAGTTAGATAATTAAAAAAGTTAAACATCGAAAACATGTAAAACCATTTTATAATACCATCTGGTTATTTAACATAGCTATGGAAAATCCCTTATAAATGGAGGTTTTAATGGGACAATCATCTATAAATGGGCCATTTTCCATGGCTATGTTAAATAACCAGAGGGTAACCATATCAACCAATTAAATATATGTGATATGAAAATATATTAAACAACCATATCGGACTCATTTCTCGCATCATTTCTGAATTCCCTGCCAGGCTCTAGACGAGGAGATTGCGGTGGTGTGGTGCCCCGGTGCTCCATAGCTCGCAGTGCCATCGTCGTTGCTGTCCGTTGAATGACTTTTGGGGATGTGGGGGTGGGTCAAAATCTATTACCCTCTGGTAAACTAACGTAGCTATGGAAAATCACCATTATTCATGGGAAAAACCACTAATAATGGTCATTTTCAATAGCTATGTTAAATTACCAGAGGGTAGTATTGATTTTAGTGAGAGAAACATGAATTTACCAGCTATGTTGGGGTTCACTAGGTACCAGGGTCTTGACCCATAGCTCATATTTGGTGGTTTCCTAAGTCATGGTACCCCAATAGTTGGATGGTTTATCATACACAATCCTTTTGAAATAGATGATTGGGGTACCTCTATTTTAGGAAAGCTCCATTCAATGGTAATATTTAGATTAACGGGGATATGGTGGGGATATAGTCTATTCCCTGAAGCTGATGATGTGAACATATTATAACTGGAAACCATGGGAAACCCCTATATGTAAAGTAGAAAACATGGTTTTAACATGTTTTAACCATATAGATTATCCTTTTAACATCCTTGAGCCAATCAACAGCTATATGCAGACTGAATAGCGTTGGTGTCACTACCCAACTCCTGTTCATACCTTGAGGTAAGCTTAGTGCTTTGAAACTAGTTTGGACCCCCATGATCATAATACCTGTATGTCTAGACATGGGATATGATATACCCATGGAAGAGCCAATATGATATACCCATGGAAGAGCCATTTAATGGGAAACATGTTTTTTTTTGAACCATGGGATGTGGGGGGGGTAGTGGTTACTTAACGTTACTCATACCGGAGCCCTAAGCCAGTGCCTGAGCAGGGGTAGACCCTCCAATTCCCATGGGTTTATCATCAATGTTCCTATTTTCAGTGAGTCATTTGGAGGTACACCCTCTGGTAATGACTAACATAGCGATTGAACATGGCGATTTATAGTTATTAATTAGAATGGGTGATTTTCCACAGCTATGTTAGTTCACCAGAGTATACCACCGTTTTCAGTCAAAGCCATAATATATGTGATGTGCCGCTGATCACAAGGTGCATGCAACATCTTGGTTTTAACTACCAAACTTGCCAGACTGCTCCAGAGTTGCTATGGACGATAGGCCCATCTATCTTGTGATAGACGCCTGCCCACCATTGCCAAAAGCCTACCCTTTCATTGATGTTTTGATGTTTTGTTTGTAAATAGATGTAAATAGCATCTTTGGCGGAGGCCACTTCTGCGTACCAAGCTTCCACACAGCGTGAACGGCAGGCGCGATACGAGAAATCTGGGGCTTCAATCAACCTGAGCAAAGATAGTGGATGCAGATGCAGAATGACATCACTTTTCAATGGATTGGTTCAAGGGAAAATCTATAGGAAACCGACCTTTTTTTCCAGTATGTGCATCCAATTCCGGGAACTTTGAAAAGATTAGTATGGGAAATCATCCCAAAATTTGCATGTGTCTCGTTTGGAAATGACCTTCTACGTTTCGGTCCATCTCCAATTTGAGGTTGGTAGGCCTTCAATATAATCAATCATGGCAATGGCAAATCGACGTGTGTTCATGTTTCGAACTGTTCATCATGGAGATAAATGGGTGCTTGTCCAATGTTTCATCGCCGGTGGTTATACTGGGGTAAACCTTTGCAATGGTGACATTCAATTTGATACTCGTAGTGTATTCTTGGAAATCGCTATGGATGAGGACGGATGTATTGTACTATAGTCAGTTATTGCTGTTCTCTTGTCATGGTACAGTAACAGTATCTAAGATTTGCTTTGCGAAAGATGATGCATACCCTATTTCCAGACGTCATTTGGTACTGATTCCCAATCCGGTGAGTTATCGAATACCTGTCGGGTTTATGGCGATGTACCGTTTCTTTTTTAGATGGGTCAACATAATCCCACACCCACGTAATCTTTGGGGGCCCAAATCCCATGAAATCCAATGGTTCACTCCCGATTCATTGGGTTTATCATGGTTTGTCTGAAAATGGGCTATAGCACAATAAACCGATGGTAAAAAAACATCAGTTTCCCAATTCAAATAGCCATTTAAGGTGGTAGATCCTATTCAGACAGATCCATATCCCATGAAATCCCATGACATGCCATTAAATCCCCATATTTGACTCGTTAAATTACTACAATTCGATCACCAAAATCCTGCCGGCAGCTGTGAAAGGTCCGCGCCAGCCAAAAACGGGTGGCGGGTGAGCTGAAACGCGAACTCTCCATCGAAGAGGCGGAAAAAACGGGACAAAGGTCTATTATCATAAAACTGGCTAAATTATAATAATAATGACCTCGCTGTTCTCCCTCACTGGAATCATGATTTATTTTAGGGAAAGTCAGTGAAATTTTATTTTCCCAGATAAATGCTGAGTCAGGACATATTGATGGTTTCACCATCATTATCCCCTATATGATTGGTTTCCCATTGATTAATATCCATCAATATAAGATATGCATGGAATATCAAAATATAATATAATATAAATGACTGATATATTTTATTATGGGATAACTGACGCATTTCACGACTGGAGGACATTTAAGTGGTTGCTATCCAGTGTAGTGAGTGGAGGAGGGAGTTCGGAGGTATGGTTGTATCCATGTTCTCTATTTCCCAATCCAAAAATGATGATAGCAGTTTGAAAGGAAAAATGATTTGTCAGACAATCCCAATATATAGTGGTAAATCCAGTGTTTTGTCTTTTGCATGGTTTTTGTTTATGCTCAGTCACAAACCATGAAATATTAGGTACATGTATATAGTTCATTGTAACTTTATGTATGCATCAGCTATATGGTTTGAGTGGTTTTGAGTCTTAAAGGAGGATTTGGATCCATCGGGCGTTGGAGCATTTATTTATATAGAAAAAAATGATCTTTAGGACTTAAAGTTGTGTTTTTTACAGTTTTTACCAGCACCAAACTGAAAAGAGGTTAGGAATTGACATCCATCACCAGTATTTGCGGGGAAATCAACATGTTTCTTTACCCCACCACTAATAATTTCAGTCATCAGATCTTCATGGTGGCACAGCATTGCGGGGGTCCCAAAAAAAGGCCTTAAGGTCTACAGTCGAGCCAAGGTAGACGATCTTCGAAGGTATCAATATAGCTCACAACCATCGCAAAATCTCCGGTCGTCAAAGCTGGCCCCTATAAATGGACGGTTTTAGTGGGAAAAGAATCTACAAATGGCTCAGTTTCAATTGCCATGTTTGATTACCGGAGGGTATAGAACGTTTTGTCATGTTTTGTCAAAACTCGGTTTTCCATGTTGAAAAGAACAATTACCGAAACACAGGATTTGAACACAGCACGGAAATTGTCATTTTGACTTCTTGTTTGGCTGTACAAAATTGGCCACACCTGGATACAATAAAGTTCAGAGCTCCAAATGTGTTTGAGCTAAATAAAGTTGAAGGATCCTTCAGAGGCCCCTGATCTGACCCATCGTGGGTGTGCCCCTTGACCCATAACTCGCTAGGTGGAAGCGAGAAAAGTTGGAGATCGTCAACGTTTGTTGATGGAGGCTGGCCGTTTAGAGTTTGAAACATTATGGATTCTGTCGGATTACTGTTTCTATTTCCACACTTCTTTGTGTAAATGATAACAACCTCACTGCGACCTCACTGGAATGATGCGAATAAGGGGGAACTATCAGAAAATAGCCTTGTTTTAGGCCTATAATTAGTCATTGTTGATAGTTTACCCAGATACTTATGGCCTACCCCAGTCAGTGAATAGATTAGAATCCCAAGTGTAAGGAGTGCAAATAGGGTTAGTTTAGTTATAAACTTGGAATATAAGCGTAGTAGGATGTTCTTTCACGTCCCCATGTGGCCCACATCACACAAAGGAAAGGCTGGTGGATTGATGATCGCTTTTTCGGTATTTGACTGCTTCGACATCCAGGTCAACTATACTACTTTTGAAGAGTTTAGAAGACTGGAAGTCTAGATCACACATCTTCTTCACGGGTTAAGTTACCCTCTGGTAATTTAACATAGCTATTGAAAATTGCCATGTATAATTGATTTTCCCATTGAAAATGGTGATTTTCCATAGTTATATTAGTTTACCGGATGGTATGGGTTGTATTGCCTTGTTGATTTCAATCTTCAATGAAGCCTGGCATCTTTGAAAGCCCCTGATTTTGCCATGCCCAGTGCCTCCCCGGAACAACCCTCCGTTGTGACTGCTCGATTTCACCATCAAAAATTCGACGAATCATCAGGGTTGCTGCCCATGATAGGTATAGTATACTTATAGCCACAAGCTAGGGACCATGGAAAGGTAACTTAGCCTTTTCATGTACCCATGTCCCCCCAAAGGTTGTTTTTTCTTGGTAGCTGGCCATGTCTCCACACTGTCACTTCTAAGTTGGTTTATAAATTTAAATCCCATTATATACGTCCCATGAAATTACCAGTACACTCCCCAAAACACATGTGTATCTACACTGAAACTACTCCTTGCTAGGCCACCGCCGCTTCGAAAGATATCGAGGACATGGAGGGTGTCAGTGGTGTTCATCCCCAACCAACTGGATAGATGGTTGAATCCTTTGTTGTTTTTGTTGCTATGTTCCATTTATAGCAAATGATGACAGTTCTTTGTGGACTACCAAAGAAAGACCATGTGATGTTTGTTGGCTTATAAAACTTATGAATACTATAGTTGCTATGTTATATAAACATTATAAGCCACAGTTATTAGCTATCTAGGGACCCGAATTTGTAGACACGCAGCCACACAATCCCCACAAAAGTTGTGGATCCTTAGTCGTTGCTGATTGATGTGTCATAACCGTATAAAAACAGATTTTGGGAATATTGTGAATATTTGAATATCCCATCTTTTCTCCACTTCTTAAAGCTGCTAATCATTAAAAAGAACAGATGGCTTCGCCAGGGCTTGCTGGAATCCCGCACCGAAGCTGCCAAGGCACCCGGCACCGGGTCAACCCAAATCGCGATTTTTCTCAGGATTTCTCGGATGTTCATCCAGGAAACATGCCCAGATGCTGCATGGTGCTGGAATATTTACCTACATTTACCACAAAAATGGCCCAGTTTTGTAGGTAAATATTCCAGCACCATGGAGCACATGGGATGATCTATCTAATGATTTTAATGGATTTTGATCCGTTACCATATTATGCTTTGGTTGGTAAGGCAGGTTCGAAAAAAAACTTGATCATCTCTGATCGGCAAAGCCGGTCAAACATCGTCGGGCTTTATTTTGGGTGGTTTATCCTACTTACTCAGTAAGTAGCTTATAACCAAACTTATAACTGGACTAACCTTACTGAGCCCATTTATAGGCAGGGTTGTAACCTATTTACGATTCCTGGGATGAATTACCAGGTAGCCCATCATGGTAAGATTTCAGCCTTAGTCATTGGTGGTGGAAGCGAATCTCAACAGGGAAAACCCATGTGTTTTCTAACATTGTTTTTCATGTTTACAGGATGGGGCCCCTAAGATAGCGAAGTTGCCTTATAAGTCCCTTAACTATGGTTTATGGTAGATATAACTATAGTTAATGGGGGTTACAATGGTATACAAACCAACTTATAACTGGGGGGCCCCATCCTGTACCTTCTGGTGGACGCATGAATTCCGCTATGTGTTTTCAACAAGAGCGTCTTGTTGGTTTAAACTTTGCTTATGTCTTGATGAAAAAACACCATATTGTGTGGGAGTCTTGTGGGTTTGATAGCTTCATGACGGAATCGTTGGTGAATATGCCCATGTTTGTTGTTACTGAACAATCCGCATGTGTCCAATGTTCATTGTCAAACAAATATCAACACAAATCCGGACACTAATTGATAACAATTCATAGCGGCATCTTTGTTGTCTCAATTTCCCCAAGTTCTGGAAACAACAAACAACAAAACTCCCAATTGCCCATCCCCACCTATTTAAAAAAACATAGCTATTGAACATGGCCCATTTAGTTCGCTGATTTACCTAGCTATAACATATTGATTGCCAGGTCATTCCCTGTAGATCCCATCAAAATCCCATAAGAAACACATTAAATCTGGTTGGTTCAGTTATGGCCATTTACCAGTTATAAGTGGTTATAAATGGGATTATACATTCTATAAATGGGGTTATAAGTACTTATAACTGATAAATGTCCATAACTGTTTGGAACATGACTGGATGATTTTTCCAGAAACAGTTGGGAATGGAAAAAAACATCCCAACTGTTACTCACGAAGTCATATTTTTCAGAGGGGTGGCGAAAAACCACCAACCAGTTATGATGGTGATATCCCAGTGATATAAACTACTCTTAGCTAACTACTAGTGGTTACCACCTATACTAACCATTATTTGTATAACATTCGTATAAAATTATTTGTCGATGATTTACTGACCCACAAAGATGGTGATTCACCACCTTTTAATAGGTAAGATGGTCCAGAAATCCACCTCATTGTCCGCCTTTCTCAGGCTCGCCTGGCCGCCTGGGAGCAGCTGGGTGAACGGCAAGCGAAGGCGCAAGGCGTGTGTTTGCAGTGCCTTGGCCCAGGGACTGAGGATTAGTTGTAGTCGTATAGTTAGTTACATGGTGATAGTCTAATAGTTTTAGTGAATAATAATAGTTATATATATAGTTACACAGTAGTAGTTGGTTATAGTGAATAATATAACAGTTTTATATACTTAGTTTCAGTTTGTTATACTTAAAGTACCAAGTTATGATTAGTGAATCTATGTGAACAATATAGTACCACTTGGGGAAAAAAAGAACTGTATATTCTAATGTGAACGGAGTAATTAATGAAGTACCAGCAGTTATACCCTCTGGTAAATTAACATAGCTATGGAAAATGACAAGTTTTGTTAGGTAAATCAACTGTAAATGGTAAGTTTGCATTATTGCTTTGTTGGATTACACTAGAGGATAATTAATTGATAATATAATCGCTACTTGGTGGTTAACTACTTGGTGAAACAAATCTACTTTAATGTTAAGTGGCCAAGTAGTTCTAGTTGAGTCATATGTTTTTTCTTCACTTACATACTTGGAAGTTGATCATTGGACTGCACCGGGTGTGATATGTTGAACTTCCAAACATACTTGGAAGTGCAAAACATACTTGGAAGTGCAGTTCCGGGTGTAAGTAAATATATGACTGTAGTTATAGAGGCCACATCTCCCAACTCATGGCGTTTATTTCAAAAACAGATGACACCCATGTGTAGCCTCAACGGCACCGCTGCTCCATGGTAGCAGCGTAGGAACCCAACAACTCTATGGTGGTCCCGGGACGAGCCGTAGATTTTGAGGATTTTACCATGTTTTTTTACCCGAAATGCCAAAGATTACCCTCATGTATTTTGTTTACCATTTTGCTAGATTTTGAGAATTTTACTCATATCAAGCCAAAGAATTACCCTCATGTAGGGAAATACTAGCAACACCAGCACCATGAAATACCATGAAACATATAGAGCACGGCCGAGACAAAGGACAGAATCACAGCATGAATGATTACTTCAGATTCTGGATATTCTACCACCAGCAATTACAAATATGTGTGAAGCCTACTGAACCGTGTATGATCCCATGGACCTGATACGGTGCTGTCTCCAGTTCCATATAAATTGTTTTTTTGATCTACACACAATGTTGGCTCTCCAGTTTTGTAGGTTGGTTTTTTAAATTCCATTCATCAACCATAGTGTTTTGGAATTTTGGAGTTATAAAGCAACTTAGCTATCGGTAGGGGTCTCCACATTGTATATATGTACATATCCACATTGTATATATGTACATATGTATGATATATGTATATGCATATATATATATAGAGATATATATATATATATATACATACGTATAATTATATACAGTACATACGATTATAGCCCTGGACCATGAACCCTAGTTATGCCTAGCTATTTCCACCTCCTTAGTGACCTCGAGCACCACATGGCAGCGCCTTGTAACTAGCCGCCCAGGTCCGAAAAAGAGCGCGCTCGGGCCTGTGAGGATCTTGGGGGCACCATGGAGTGTTGGAACATTGGGTTGTGTCAAATGTCAACGGATTGCTTTAAGGGAAATTAAATCTTAACCGGAAACCATAGATTTGTCCATTTATTTGGCTTAAACCAGTAAATTTTCCCTTAAACCAATCCATTGAACATGTATTCAAATGTCATATTTCCCAAAAATCCATGGTTCATGGTCATGTTTGCAACAGGTGTAATACACATTTCCATTCTGGTGCATCCTCCATCAGATGAGATGTTGGAACTTTGCAGCTGGGACTTCAATGAGATGATTCTGTTGTTGGACAATGGATGCAAAGAATCGAAGACTGGTGGTATATGTGTCTATACTTTTCTGCATCCTTGCTGGTATGGTGACAAGGGTGATTGTTGATCTGAGGAGGTTATGGGACTTTTCCCATCATCAGATTTTTTGTCTTCATGGATAGCTACTTCACGGACATCCTGGAATCCAAGAATTGATATCGAAGATAGTAATTTTCAAAGATCACCAGTACCAAAGATTCATTGAATCAACGTTTGGAAACCTGAGGCTATAGCATCAACTTAAAAGTTGGTTGATCAACATATTTCAACCCATCCAACTGCAGGTATACTCACCATAAATCCCTATAAATCCTATAGGCAAAGCATAGCTATAGCTCGAAGTTTGCTAAGAAACTGGGGCATCCTTCCACAGGAGCTCCTTGCCGGCTGGCATGCCGCTGTGTGGGGTCCCGATGCCCAGGACCCAGAGATTCACCGATTCACAGTGGATTAGTGGGTTTTTTTCGGGTACCAATACAGTTATGGCCATAAAAACCAGTTATAACTGGTTATTTCTATGGGATGAAATACATTCTATAAATGGGGTTTTGTTAGTACTTATAACTGATAAATGGCCATAACTATAGTCATTTCATTAATGATACTTATATAAATGGTAGCCTCGAAAAAATGAAAAAGAATCGTTTGGGGTTGACATTCATCCAGGGTTGACATTTTTCTGATTTTTGCAAATGAATGGGTGTTCTATGAATTTCAATTATTTCTACGTAAAGATCCATGATTAATTCCTTTTAACCAGGTGACGTGGATAGAACATGGAATTTTCAAAAAGGATTCCCATTCTATTGAGGATGCTATCTACTTCTGTGTTTTGTTTAACAACACATTGGTGTACGGTAGCCTATTTTCCGATGTCAAAGAGGTATGCGTGGTTTACCACGTCCTCCAACTGGGATCATGTAAAGACTTAAGATATCCTGTTTTTATAGCATGACACACCCTTTTTTTACCACCCCAAAGTAGATAGAGAAGTTTGAAAACTTAAAATCCTGATGGAAAGATCTTCTGATCAGACTGAAAGCCTCTTAGAACGACACAGTATCTCACAGCGCACATGAAAATCACTGAAAATCACTCCCATATGCTCCATGTATGGAATATTTACCAACAATTATCAACATTTACCTCCCAAAATGACCCAACATGTAAGTTTAATATAGTTTAATTGGTAAATCTATTTCATACCCCATAGGATCCATGGTGCTGCTATATATGGTAACAGTTACCATCAATATACCCCCAATGTTAGCGTATATACCATACATGGATCCTATGGGTACATGGAGCATAGCTGGTGCGAAAGCCCCCACTAAACCTGGCCCATGACGCATTCCGCCGCAGGAACTCTCCCAGGATCCAAAGACCTTGTCGACGCTTCGGGCCTTGCACGGTCGCTCCTCCAGCTCCCTGCAACAGGCGTGACCAAAATGGCGCTTCAATTTAGACTCATACCTGGTAAAACCATCATTTTCCCTGGTAAAACCATCATTTTCCCTGGTAAAACTAGCATTTTCCCTGGTAAAACCATCATTTTCCCTGGTAAAACCAGCATTTTCCCTGGTAAAACCATCATTTTCCCTGGTAAACTTACAAGGTGGTGCCCCCTAGATATGTTTATTGGTTTATAAACATCATTAACTATAGATATAACACCAACAAAAACCATAGTGAAATTGGAGTTATGTTCACCAACTTAGCTATCTTGGGGGCACCACCTTGTACCTGGTTGGTGGCCCAGAACCATGGAATTTTATGACTTTCCATATATGGGGAATGTCATCATCCCAACCGACGAACTCCATCATTTTTCAGAGGGGTAGGGCTCAACCACCAACCAGTTACATAAATCCTGAAAATCATCATTTTCAAAATGTGTTTGATAGGTACATCAACTATAAAGGGTACATGTTCTATGTCGCTATGTAAGTTTACTGGAGGGTATGGATTTTAAGCATCCCAACAATTAATGTACATCATCATCTCACTTGTTGGTGATTGGTATTCGATTTCAACTGGCTTGGGTTATGCATTCAGGCTTTCATGGGGGGTTAAGCAACGCCCCTAAAGGTGTCCCGCAGCCATGATCGATGGTGAACAGACCCTGAAAATGGTGGTTCTTGATGGTTAGGATTCGCCCTGAATAAACCCGACTTGGGAGGGTTATTCCCATCACATCCCAGAACAATACACACCATGAACTATCGTCAATAACACATTTCCAATATATAACTAATTTATATCCATAGAAAATCAGAAAGAAATCCATCTCCATGAAATTTTTGTGTCTAGTTCAATCATCTACTTCGCCACCTGCCGCGCCCATCCCAACGAGGCGTGGAAGGACACGGTGCAGCTGGCGGCGGAGTGCCTGGGCGAGGATGGCTCGGAGGACGGATGGCATCGGATGGCTCGGCTCGCAACGGATGGCGCCAGGATGTGCCAGGATGTGTTGCTGGTGAAGATATGTTAATTAAAAAAGGTTAGATGAAGTTACCCAGTTACCCAGCCTGGTAAACTAACAGTTTGCGAACTTGAAAATCGTAATTTATAGTTGATTTACCCATAAAAATTGGTGGTTTTCCATAGTTGTTTGCATGTTTACCAGAGGGTAGATGTTGGGTGTTAAGATATGGGGGTATCCATTTTTATGGGGGATCCGAGGAATCACCATATTTTTGTTGGTTCCGAATGGCAAAAATCCATCTATAGGATATATGTTTAGATAATGGTTGGATATATTAGATTAATGGTCAATCATGGTCACGTGATGGTTATAATATATGTTAAAGGTGTTGTTTCTATGAATATAAATAATAGCTAGATGGTTGGTGGATACAAAGATGTGGCTGAATTTTAAGGACCTCAAGTGACGTTACTATAAGATGATGGTTACCAAGGGGAATTATCCCCAAATCGCATTATTTCAGCTTTGGTGAATTATTGTCACTCAGCGAGCACGATATATAATAACAATAATAATATATAGCCATATGCATATACATTATTATTATTATTATATTATTGTGATGATGATGATTATTATTATATATTATATATCCTGAGATTCTGTAAATAGTTCCTAGGATTCTACAAATAGATCCTGGGTAGCTATGGCCCCTAACACAGAAAGAGGCCAACGCAACAAGTAATATATATATATACAATATGGATCACCATCACAGTATGTAGACAAGCTGGTTGCTGGTTTCAACGCATGGGATGATCCCAGAATGGATCCCAAAATGGACGGCATGGCGTGAAGATCCAGATCAGGGTGAGCTGACCGGCTGACCGGCTGACCCAAATGGATAACTGGTTGGTGGTTTGGAACATTTTTTATTTTCCCTAATGCATGGGATAATCCTTCCCATTGACCATTGACTAATATTTTTCAGAGGGGTGGCTCAACCACCAACCAGTCACTATGATGGATAAAAAATAATAGTTTCTAAGTGGAAAACCCTAGGTTACCTCTATAGTCATTGGGAATAGTAGGATGGTCGCCCTGCAATCACGAGCCAGTTCCGATCCGTGTCCTCAAAGCCAAGGAACAACACAGGGAAAGCCACGGGGATTGAGTCCTAAGATACCTTAGGTGCCGTAAATCTTCAAGCACATATGGAGATAATCATCAACACATCAGGATTTAACCATAAAACAAACAACAATGAACCGTTCACAAGTTCCACATGAAAAGTGTGCCGAAACCATTTGGCCTCGGGCACAGGTTTCTGAATGAGTTTTGTGTACCCTCTGGTAAACTAACATAACTATGGAAAATCACAATTTTTAATGGGTAAATCCACTATAAATTGCCATTTTCAATAGCTATGTTAGTTTACCAGAGGGTAGTTGTTTACTGAATGTCAGAATGGCAACGTTTTTTCAGTGTTCTCAGTGTGCTGAACCAGTCATCGATGTCGTCACGAGAACAGGAGCTGAGTCGGGCGGCAGAGCGCTACAAAGCAATGTTGAAAGAGATCAAGAGCCACTTGCAAGAAGTCACTGGGTCGTGGCGCGGTCAGATTTTTCACCACCATCTGCTATAGCTGTCGTCAATGTGATGTTGTCGGTTTTAACATTCAAAAAAGGAAATCACCCACTGCAACATTGGACATCCAAAAACTGAGATTTTAATCACTCACTATCCTGAGTTGTTGAATGGTAGATAAATGGGTAAACTACGACTTCAGGGTATGAAAAGGTATTGTAAGGCCAGCTATGTAAAACACAAAAGACAAACAGACATTGGGAGATGACATTGTATTAACATTACCAGATAAAGAAAAACAAGTAAGATTGGAGACAGAGAGAAAAGCTGTGAATCGTGCAGGACGGATGGACATTTACACTGGTTGTTGCCTATATATATATATATATATATATAGCGACAGACTGAAACTTAGAATGCCGCACCCCTTCAGGTCGCGCTGTCCTAAAGAATGCCGCCGCGGGGGCAAAATCTTAAAAAACCCTGGTAAAATGCAATTTTCGGGTTGCAGCAATTTGAGCTGGTCTTTTTGTAATGAGTCGTTCGTAGGTAAATTTTGTGAGAATTTACAGCGTAATATGAGATTGAGTGCCACACATAGAATGCCTCCGGCCAAAAAGTCCAGGTCACAGCATGTCAAACATTTGAAGCCCATATTTTCAAAATACTCGGTATACGTGGGGTTTTATGTACTTTGTGCAGCCCACATAGAATGCCGCCAAAAACATATACAAATGTCATCATTCTGTTGCAAAATCTCTGTTTTTTTTGTGAAACACATGGTTTGAAGGATTGTATAAATTTACTATTTCATATGAATAATTGTATATAAATCCAATCTCATGGGAGGTATCCTTTCCTTTTTCCTTTCCCTTTTCCTTTCCTTTTTCCTTTCCTTTTTCCTTTCCTTTTTCCTTTCCTTTTTCTTTTCCCCTTTTTCCTTTCCCCTTTCCTTTCTCCTTTCCTTTTTCCTTTCCTTTCTCCTTTCCTTTATCCTTTCCTTTCCCCTTTCCTTTCTCCTTTCCTTTCTCCTTTCCTTTCTCCTTTCCTTTCTCCTTTCCTTTCTCCTTTCCTTTCTCCTTTCTTTTTTCCTTTCCTTTCTCCTTTCCTTTCTCCTTTCCTTTCTCCTTTCCTTTCTCCTTTCCTTTCTCCTTTCCTTTCTCCTTTCCTTTCTCCTTCCCTTTCTCCTTTCTTTTCTTCTTTCCTTTCTCCTTTCCTTTCTCCTTTCCTTTCTCCTTTCCTTTCTCCTTTCCTTTCTCCTTTCCTTTCTCCTTTCCTTTCTCCTTTCCTTTCTCCTTTCCTTGCTCCTTTCCTTTTGGGGGCATGTGTTTTATGATTTTTGCTGACT